GACGTGACTGATGAGTGCGAACGCGTAACGTGCGCCGGAGTGTGCACGCTGGATGACGCGGGGCCGGCTTGCGTTTGCGACAGTGGCGCCCTCAGTAATGATGGTACTTGTCCACTAGTGAAGCAAGCGCAGGTATTTTCATAACTTCAAAAGACAATTACTTAGACGAGAAATTCCCAAACTAATTTTTCTCGAAGATTATCATCAGCTATACGTCTCCACTAAGGGGCACGGAGTCTGACCTAACTAAAGGGTGACTAGGCCATAGTCAATGCTGGCTAAGTCCGTGTTGATTTCACACATCTTTTTGAAATTCTTCACACACGTGCAAGTTGCATCACGATGTTTTCCTTCACCGTAGGAATCTCGGATAAATGTACATATCTAAATCAAAAAACATATTGGTACATGGTGGGATTCGAACCCTGGACCTGCAGTTTACAAATCAAGTACTTAACTCGTCGACATGTTCCTTTCTTCTTGAACTGATGCCGCGTCTTCCGTGGTGCTTTGCAAATCACTTGTTTTTTCAGTTGCCACTATTTAACGGCTGGCTGCAACAAGACTACGTGCGTCACGCGTACTCATACACATTGATTGCAATTGTACTAACACTATTCGGAGCTTACATTTGCTTATTTATTTACTACCACTTCGTAAGAAAACCCGCCAAGAAACGAGCTGGAGAATACATGCAGTAAGTATACTTTGACATTTGTTTTTTTTTTTTAAGAAAGGCAAAGGTCAATCAGCTCGCAGGCAATCAACTTAAAAAAAACACTAATTAACGCAGATTCATTTGTGCACATTTTTCAATTAACGTATGTAACACATCTTACTGATATAAAGGATGATTTATCGTTTAGAAATCGATCGATCCATATTTATACTCAGTCGAAGTAATAAAATATTCTCGGATCGGTTTTTGATTTCGAGTGGTACAGGATTAACCGATCATTTAAAATTGCTTTTGATGTTAAAACAATAACTGTACTTCTAAAGTTTCATAAAATATTGTCATATTTTTTTTAGAGTTCGATATCAGAATAATGGATCGGAGACCATGCCCAACCTTGGTTTGGACAATCCTATTTTCAGTGTACCACCTACAATTGGGTAATTACTTATTTTATTCAGTTTATCTCATAATATGAATGTGGATGGTTACAATGATAGAGGAAGACCGAAGAAAGTGTAGTGTGTGAAAAAGGATATGCGTAAGGGAGTGAATTCAGATATAACGGCTGATAGAATTATGAGAGAGCAAATATTGTGCCGAAAATACATATAGGCAAGTTGTATAGAAAGTTCCAACAATTTATATTATGTAAATATTTCAGAGGTATTGCGCACGAGTTTGTGAACCCATTGCAGTTTGTTAGAGATATTTGGAGGCAATCCTTACCGAGAAACAGGCCAGTCGTAAGTAATATTAAACAATATCTTAACAAAACTCATCATTAGATACCAAAAATGACAGGAAGTAAACCTTTATAATCACCAAATCACCTTGTAGTCATAAAGAATACCTAGGCTAAATCTAACATCAAGACTGACAGTATTACTTGAGATCTTAATGGTTTCAGGGCACTGCGGGCATCACATTTGACTCTCCGCAGATGAGGCAAGACTCTGACACAGAATCGGATTTGGATTTGAGAGAAACAAGAAGAATATTAAGAAATTAATATAATTTTATTTTTATCCCACTTTATAAAATTAAATATAAAAATATTATGTGTGCACATGGTACAGTAGTGTTAGAAATATATTTTATATGAACAATGTTATTATTTGTATTTTTGTAAAATCTGCAGGCAGATTACAAAATATGTAAATAAACAAAACATATCTATAGAGTTATTTTATAATAAGATTTATTTTTCAATGTTTTATAAATTTACATTATGATATTATGAGGAGCATAATTAATTTCTCTTTATCTCTAAGAAGAAATGTTTCTTTTATTGTTCAATAAATTTGCAATAATGAATTTTAGTTCAGAGTTTTATTTCGAAACATTTAAATATGACACCACACTTAAGAGATAGGCAAGTAAAAGAAAAATACTAAATTGGATCTTAAAACTTACCAACTTATTCCACTTTTCATAGGTTAATGCTTTCAATGCCAATATGAATTAATCATAATCCATGCAAAATGACTTTACAAAAACACATGAATTTAAACAAATAATGGCAACTTGTTACAATCATTTCTGTAGCTTTATTGAACAAAGAAGATGGATGGTACAGATGTAGAATATAGTGTGGAAGACCACAGAGTATTATTTTTTTTTTATTTCCGTCCGGACTGTGTTGCAGGCGACAGCTAGTTATACATTTAACAAAAAGTCAGTATTAAGTATTAGCAATCATTTAATTGGCTAAAATAAAACCACAATTTAAAGCAATCAGAAATTTTAAATTTATTAATAAACTAAGTTACAAAGATAATTAGTAAAAAAGTATTACTTCCATAGTTTCTTAATGGACATATTCTTCTCAGAATCTTTCTGCATCACCTTAGCTACAGCCATCTCAAAATCTTCCTGGGTGACATGCACCCTGCGCTCACGGAGAGCGTACATACCTGCCTCTGTACACACGCCCTTCACCTCTGCACCAGAAGCACCTGGCATCAGCTCAGCTATCTTACGTAGGTTGATACCTCGAGTCAAATTCATCTTCCTTGAATGGATCTTCAGAATATCCAAACGCGCTTCTTCGTTCGGTGGCGGGAACTCAATCTTCCTGTCAATACGTCCAGGACGGAGTAACGCCGGATCAAGGATATCAATTCTGTTTGTAGCCATAATCACTTTAATATTCTTTGTTGCTTCAAATCCATCAAGTTGGTTAAGCAATTCCAACATAGTTCTTTGTACCTCAGAATCTCCTCCACTACCAGATTCAATACGGGATGATCCAATGGAGTCGATTTCATCCATGAAAATGATAGAGGGAGCATGCTCTCGAGCCATAACAAACAGTTCTCTCACCATTCTACTACCTTCTCCAATGAACTTTTGCACTAACTCCGAACCAGAGACTCGGATGAAGGTGCACTCAGTGTGATGAGCCACAGCTCGAGCCAGTAAGGTTTTACCAGTACCAGGTGGACCATACAGCAGTACTCCTTTAGGCTGGGCTATACCCAAAGCATCAAACAGCTCAGGATGCTTAACGGGAAGTTCAATAACTTCCTTGATCTCTTTGATTTGTTTGTCCAATCCACCTACCATTTCGTAGGTAGAATCGGGCACTTTTTCGACCATCATAAGAGAGACTAATGGATCTACCTTGTTGGGAAGTATCTTATGTAGAGTGTAGCTTTCGTTGCGAAGAGCTACACGGCAATTGGCAGTGACATCGTTGATGTCAACATTCTTGTCTAAATCAACAACAAATTTTCCTTCGGGGTGAACTTTTACGAGTACTTTCTTTTTGTCCATGGGCTTAACCACTTCGCCAACATACGAACCTTGTTCCTGAAGTAACTGCAGTTCTTCACGAAGCATACGTACTTTAGCATTAAGTTCATTACGCTGGGCTTGCAAACGTCGCAAATTCTGAGATTTTTCGGCAACAATCAGCTGTAATTCTTCGATTTTCGTGATGTAGTAAGGTCTGAAACCTTCGCCCTTTACAGGGTCCACTTCCATTTTAGTTAAAGTCATTTTGAGAGTTGGCTCACTCTCATTAGACTAGTACTTGTGTTTATTGTTTAATTTAGCTTTTAAGTGATGGTATAGAGCTCAAACAATGAGAAAACGAAAAAGCGAACTTTGAAGTGACAGATTCGACACATTGATATTTTCCGAGTCATGTCGAAAAAAGTTGCCAGTATAAACGGATACAAATATTAGAATTTCAGTTTTGAAAATAATCGGTGAGCGAAATAAAATTTAAAAATCTAAAGATTTCTTTCACATTCAATGTTGTAAGTTGTATGATTGAGATTAAGATTTACTCAAATATCGAAAATTAGTAACTAATGAAAAGTTGCATAGGGCACAATGCACACTTATGCACATCAAACTAAACTTAGACCAAACTAGGCCGATGTTTTGGTATTATTTGAGTTTAACACTAACGTAGGTTTTGTATTAGCGAATGGCGTAAACGCTTTTTACTTGTAGACCTAAATAAACTGAAATTAAAATAATAGGTGTCATAAATTAGACATTACAGAGTTTTGCTGTCAATTATTGTCAAATTTTAAATTTAATGTTCCCGGCAAATACATAATGTAACGTAATAAAATTAAATTTTCATCCCTCATAGTTTTTAGTACAACATTTAAAAACATCCTATACCAAATCGACACAAGTTAAATAAATTAGCGCAATAAAACAATTAAACTATGCTTGAAGATATTTAAATCAAGGATTTAGGCCAGGAATGGTTATTATTACAACTGTTTTGTCATTTGTAATAAGTTGTTATTTTGTTAAAATGTTATGGGTAATCCGACTAGGATCCTTAGCACACTGGAGTTACTTAATTGGATCTGTTATTTATCCAAATAATCCGCACAATAACGCCATATTGAGTTGTACCATTTTTGGATTCATATTGATCGGTGCATGGTTACCGAAGTTTTTATGCCCTCGAGTTAAGTTTGTCGCAACGGCTTTAAGTATCTTTCCACAAATCCATTTATTGGTACTACTTCATAAAACTATTGGGAAAGTTGAAAATGAACCATTTCATAAAGCTATCAAAGGCTACACAGCAGTTACTATTGGATCCATGCTTTGGACAGTTTTTACATTGGTAAAATATTGAGTTAAGTACTGTAATAGATCTTGAAAAAGGTAAAACCTAAAAAAGTTTTGTCAAATAGAAGATTAATAAATTGAAGATAAGTAATTCAGATATTGAAGTTGAAGTGTACAATACTTATATAATAAACCACCATATTTCATTATACGTTGTTTATTTCTTTACCTTTATAATTCGCACATCAAAGTCAATCAAAGCTAAGAAATCTTCTGATGTCTGAATGTTTACAATTTTAAAACACAGTAATGGTGTGTAAGTATTTGAGTTTTAAAATAATGCACAATATGAAAAGATAATTTTTTAGTGTAAAAATAAATTCAGTAATTCTTAAAATATAAAACGGTATGAATGATGATTTATTTCTGGAGCCGAAAAATTTCACGATAAGAATAAGTGGAGAATAAGGCTGTTTTACACAGTCGCTGGAAGTATTGCTAGGACGTTGACGTGGATTGTGTTTTGTGGACGAACTGAAGTGAGTCGGTGACTTTATTAACTTTGTCGCTGATTAAAGCTGATAAAAAAAGTAAATAAAATTTTGACAGGTAACCTTATTGCTATGAAGTGTTTGTGTATTGATGTGATAAAAATTAATTGATTTGAATTATTTGAGCTAATAGATTGTTGTTAAAGTATACGTAATATATTTTTTATTATTTAGCGACTATCTCTCAATTCGTGATTATGTTCAACATGTACAATATTACGAGAAAAATAATTTAATGTGTACATAGTGGAAATAAATGGGGTTTATTTGTGTTTAATACAGGTATTTTTTTTAAGATTTATATATTTTTATATGCATTCATTTAAGTATAATATTTCTTTCGATACCATTTTTAACATTTGAATACTTCTATATTATTGTTTGATTGTTTTTCCGTGTATTTTGTATGAATGGTTACGGAAAACTTGTCAGGGTTAAGTAACTCGTGATTTTTCTCTTACGTTAAGTTTTAATAAATTACTGAAGCGGCCAAACATAGTTATGATTAAAACCTGGTAGTTTTTATTAAATTTGATTAATGTTAAAAAGATTTTTTTTTGTCAACTTCTTTTGTGTAAAAAATATTGTAGATTATTTTTATACATGGATAAGATTCTTATTGGATTAATTAATCTAAAAGTTAGAAAATAGGTTGTATAATGAAGCAATATTTAATTTCTTTGACAGCTTTGCTTCAAGTAATTTCATGATTACAGAGGTTTAGTGTTTATAAAATAAAAAAATATAACTAATCATCCCTAATATGTATATAAGTTTAAGTTATAAATATACTTAAAAAGAAGTACATATTTATAAGCACATTGACAATGATAAAAAAAACATAGACAAACTGAGAACCTCCTTCTTTTTGAAGTTGGTTAAAAACAGCAATTATTATTTCTGTATCATTTAATTATTTTTATGTAATAAAAGAGTTACATTCAAATTTATGTTTGTTAACATTGAATCGGGGAAAATGCACATAAAACTTCCATGTATATAGGTGTGAACATTTTACTAAATAACATTTTCCTGAGTAATAATGTTTAACAAATACATTTATAATGTACAGCAAAACAGTTTTGGTGGTTCTAAATAATAAAATGCAATAAATTTTTTAATTTAATTTCTTAAAAATCATTCTTTGTAGGATGATTAGTTTTACATCTGTTATTTTAACTTCATTTTATGTCTTGTCAGACTAGATTTCAATTTTATTACTGTAATTAGTACATTATGATTATTATATTGTTCTCTTGAACATGTACTACTGACATAGTATAATTAAGTCCGCGGTCAGGGTCTAAACCGGTTTTTACCAGTATTATTTAAATAGAAAAGAATGTTTTTTTTTCAATAATTTAATGGCTTCACTTTATTTTGACTAGACCAACTCTATCTAGTGGCAAACCTAGAATAAAGTGAGAGAATCATTTAATCTATTCTAGGACTTTTAAGAAATTATGAGTTATCAAGTGTGAATGTTTTTTAAATATTGGCGGCTTGTACAACATGTGACCGTGAAGGTTTTATTCCAGGATGGGGAACACAAGTAAGAAACTGGCAGCTAAGTGCACACTACTGACCAAAGAGGAACAGAAGTATGTAGCGGCTACATTCAGAGCGGCCAGCAAGAACTCGGAACGGATACGGGAGGACGATCTCATCGTGAGTGGAAAAGTAGACGCAGTGTTGCTGGAAGTGTGTTCATTTTTGTTTTCTTTTAATTTCATTTTTTTTGTTTTTTTTTCGGCCAGTGATAAAGTTATTTTTTTCTTTTCCAAGGACTTTGAAGTTTGTCGTATATCGATTCATAACATCGATATATTGAGATAGCGTTAAAAAATTTAAGCATACTCGTAAATACCTGTGTGACCACAAACAAAATTTGTTACAGCTTTAATAGCTTTGCGTCTGGAACAAACAGAAATCAGTTTGAGAGGCTGCCACCATTGTTATTGGTCGTAAATTATTTATTGTCCAAACATATTTTCACGTTTCCAATGAGTCGTAAACGCGTCGGATGTACAAATCTTAACGCACTATTTATAGATAGAAATATTATACCAGCCCCAACAAAAAAAATTTAGATATAAAATTTAAAAATTCTTGGTAATAATTTTTTTTTACTATTTGAGCATCCATTAATTAATATGTAAGCCTCGTATAAAAAAAAAAACGATCGAAAACATTTCTTTTAAAAAAAAAAAATTCAGCCACTGTATATGAGTGTTGGTAATGTTAAATTTAGCAAAAAAAAGTTTAGGCAATTCGTTACGTTTCCCATTTTGTAGCATCCTGTAGATTCGAATTGCACTCGTAACTTATCACTGGTCGAAAATTTTATTTTATTTTAATTTGTTAGTACAATTAAAAATATTACATACATGTAAACATATGGTGGTGGGTTTTCTACTAAATTGCGCTTCTTTAGTTGTTTTAATCTATGTCCAAATGTCAAAATTATAACAATGGTGTCTAAAATGTATGTAATGTTATTCGTTTTTAATTTAAACGTTATTTTTGTTTATTATTTTTAGTTTTAAAGTTTTTTTTTTTTTAAATATTTTTTTAAGAACCAGCACTTCAATATAATTAAAACTTATCATAATTTTAATTATTCAAATAATTTGTTAATATAGCTCAGATTATGTACATCTAATAGGTACTAGACTTAGGACCTTCTTCAGGATTTCTAATAGTCTGAATGTTGTAGTCTAATAGCGGGTTTTCACTGCCAAAACATCTGCACAACATATTAATCTCTACATTCTTTCAGTTTACGTTGTAATGAAAACTATAATTATTTTCGATGTTTCAAGATGAATTTCTTTTTGTAGAATCTTGTCCATTAATTTAGTTTACATGCCAGTATCATAGTAGCGCTGTCCTGGCGTCAACTGTTTTGGTCCACTGGCACTAATTAGTACTTAAATGAAGTCAGTATGCCAGTTGATTTTGATCACTACTGTCCTACTGTACTGGAATAGTGTAAACATAATGCAATATTTTTCACTAAAGTGCGTACTTTCAAAACTTACCAGTATTGACCCATGTTACATGTAACCTAAGTTTATAGCTGCCGGTGCGTAATTGTCCGATTGTTTGTACATTTTGATTTACGATTCGGCAAATGAACGCCGCTCCACAAAGTACGTATCGAAATAGAACGTTCCAGAACTAATGGTATTTATGCTTTACACTTTACTGTACGTCGAAAGTTCACGTAAGCAGTCCCTAAGGGTAGACTTACTAAAACTACTACTAAGGCCTTTGGTACACGAGGCGTAGTCGTAGGTTATCAACGTAGGTCGTCAAAACTAATATTGTATGGTTACGTTGCGCGCGTTCCGTACACAAAAATTTGAATCGTCGACGCTAGTCGCATATTCAGTTAATAGAGGTAGCGACTACATTTCAACTGTATAGATTTGCTCATACGGAGACCTTAACAAGCAGGTATGGGCAACACGCACTGTGCACTAAACTCACTGTCTTATGTAAGTCGCTTAGCGACTAAAATCGCCGAGATTCGTTGACTTATGTTGCCTTGTGAACAAAGGTGCTAAAGAAGTGCGACCGATGTTGAGCGATTAGCATTTCAAGTTACCATACACAGACCTTAGTTTGCAAACCGCTAAAAATTCTGCCAGCCATATGCAGACCGCTTCAAACTTTCTATTTTAACTTCTTAGAGTAGTCCGTGACTATCAGACCTTATAGTACCGTAAAGGCTGGTAACACAGAAGGGTAGAACCCCAAAAGCCCTAGCCGGGACTCTATTAAATGGCCTAGAATTCAAATACTATACCATTATTTCGTTTGACTCTTAAATTTTATTCTAGCCATTTCTAATTCTAGTCAACTCTCAGCTCGTCAGTTAACAATGAGTAGGAAGGCCATCTGATTCCCCTCACTGTCCGATCCGCAGTAAACCGGACGTCAGTATTTACGATCGGTTACTTAATCACTAAATTTTATCGCCACCAGTTTTTTTTCTTAAAGATCGTACATCTTACGTCTATTATTCACATCAGCATTATGTATGGAGTTGGAGATTGGTAGGAAAATGTAGTGTGAATGTTCTATATAATATTATTTATTTCAGATAAAGCGATTTTTAATTTTTTTATGTCAAATTCAAAAGAATGTAGTATAAAATTTTGCGGAAAATCCACAATTTCTCTACTACACATAATTTTATAATATTTCTAGCTATCGCCCGCGACTCTGTCCGCGCAGAATTAAATAAAACACTTTATGAGTAGCCTATGTGTTCTTCCAGACTACTGTTCTACATCCATGCTAATTTTCAGTGAGATTTATGCAGCCTGGAGATACCTCCTAACAAACATCCATCCAAACATTCGCAATTATAATTTTAGTAAGATATAGTTGCAATTTAATAATAAAAAAGCAAAAAATCTTGGTTATTTTTTTATTACCGACTATAATATAACAGACGCGCTTTTGATGCGAAAGCTGCCAATGAATTCGACTTTATTGCAACATTGATGTGATTAAAAACTGATTATAGCTTCGACAATGCCGTGACCGTAAACAAGAAATGCTTATGAAAAAAAAAAATTAAAAGTTCTCGGAATAGCCGGACTACATTCCAGGATTAGGGTTGCCAAGAAAAATATAGTTTAATGAGGAATAAAAGCTTGGGGTATGCGGATGTACGGATAATCGCACTATCGCTGCATTTCTCGTAAATTTGTACATAACAAGCTGTCGCTCGCGACATTGTCTGCACGGAATTATAAAAAAAAAATCTTAAGCAGCAGCCTATATATCTCTGTGTTTATCAAGGGTCGTTGAGCCGTTCTGGAGATAACTTCATCCATCTATATATCTAAATTTCGCATTTATAATATTAGTAAGATAAACTAAATTAAAATGTATTAGATAAAGCAAGTAGCAATAATGGTTTTCGCGAAATTCTTGTCCTGATGAAGGGCCCCCGATGGGCTCGAAACTAGTCGGTGCCGCCACCGGACGTATATACGTGAGTGTTTAGCCGTGTTTATATATCAGTTTAGTATAATGTCTCACGAAAGTTTGAATAATTTAATTCTTTCGTTATTTAGGTAAATAAAAAATTATTTAAACTCTCTCCCCAATTTATTACTTTCTATTTTCTCTTGTTTAATTACATTAAAAACGATTATTCAACGACCAATATATTTGCATTTAAAAAATTGCGATCTAATTCCGAAGAGTACTCAAATAAATCAACAAACAAAAATGACAAATAACTCCCATGTAGACATAGACTAACATTGGGTAGGGCCATGACGTCAGCGGGTGGCAATAGACGCAAACAGGGTCAATAGGGGTTGTACCACCCTTGTAAATATTACATCAAACTAATGTCGCTTGAATTGAGTGGTCATATTATTTTGTGTAATTTTTTTTTTGTTGACGAAATAATGCTTTTTTTTTGAGTTTTTAAATTATTTAGTTACATGCTTAAATGGTCGAAAAGCTTAAGAGAACTTGAAATAAAAACTGATATGAGATGTGAAATTGATAATAATTGTATTGTCTGCTCATTATCTAATCTGTGATGATTCATAACACAAATAAATCCTAAGATGATGTTACGAAAATTAAGGAATATATCGCAAATATATCATAGATTAAATAATGGACAGACACTACAATTATTATCAATTTTGCATCTTGTATTTGTCGTTATAAATTGGATAAGGTGTAAAAGAATCATTCAATTGCATAAAATTTTAAGCGTTTTAATTAAAAATAGCGTATCCTAAAATAATGCCCAACACTATGTACTAATATAACAGACTTTAAAGCATATACATCAAACACACTATTATCCAGTCTCAATTACACAGCGAATTACACTCAGCCAACATTCAAATAACCGCACTTTGTGTATTTGCTCCAAATTACTGAAGATTTTCACCAAATCGTGTCGTCAAACTTTGCAGGCGGACTGTAAAATCGCGTTTATTAACTGTACGTGGGTGGCAAACGCTAAATCTGAGCTCGAATTCCAACTGTTCAATCGAATACTTTTGTCGCGAATTGTTTTACATCCGGCCCTTTTTTTGGCGCGAAAGTTAATGCGTTCGTAATATGGTGGCGTGTAATTTTGATTGAATGTGCACGTGTTTTAATTTCTTAATTAAAGATTGTTCCAATATTTTCCATTTCATTTTGACTCATTTTGGAAATTCTTTATTGTCTTTTGTTGTTTAAAATTTGGCTTATATTCTACGTAAGAACGTTAAGTCATGACGAAATTTGTATTTTTAGTAGTATTTTACGCGGGTACTCATTGAAGACAGTTGTCTACATTAGGACTATGAGATCCAGAGTAGTCTAATTACTTAAACAGTAGTTAAGTAAAAGTTAAACTTCTTAAATTCCCGAGTAATTCTCTTGCCGTCTATAAAAATATTTCAACTAAATTTTCGGCTACTGTGGTGCTATGACTTTCATCGTATAGAAGATCATTGAAAATCAGTATTGCAAAAATGACAGGCCACTCTGGTTCTCATGGCCTCAATTACAATTTTGATATTTAAAAAATGCGTTTAATTACATGCAGTCTACTAAATCCAGTACACACTGTTTAGCGTGCGTGGGCGCGATGAAACGCAACTGTTCATTCTCACCTTAGTCTATTATCTAAACTGTGATGGACGGACTCATAAACTTTCTGTACATGCTACACTATGTACAATGTACAATTATTTATTGCTATTTGAACGCCTTAAATATTTTCTGAAATACGGACGTTGTTCTTTTTTTAATACGGGAAGCGGAAGTTTGGCGGATAAACGCGGCTTTACCCTTAGAGTAAGAACGAGATTTTATTGGTACCATCTTTGTCCCTGTACACATTTAGCAACGATAGATTTCTCCCTACAGTTCCTAGCCTAGGATTTCTAGGTGGTTTGAGGTTCTTTCAATCCTCTTTGTTAATTTTTACAGTTAATTAGTGCGAAACTGAAATACCAGTTGAAAGAGTTTAGGTTAAATTGTGGTTTTATTATTTCATTTATAAGAGATGTTTTTATAAGAGATGGAGGAACACCGAGGTGGTCATCGACTCACATGAACATCAGCAATACCAGAGGAACCACAGATGCTCTGACGGCCTTTGAGATGGTGATACGCTCGCTTCTTAAAGGATCCTAAGTCGTAGTTGTTTGTAGTACTAGTTAAACTGTAAACTTTAAGTTATTTAGTCCTTTATTTTCTTTATGATTTTGAAATTAATAACACGCGCAAGGATTTGTGAATGAAAGAACGAGACATCAGTAATGAGAGCATAAATTCAATCTGCAGATATAAACAGGGCGCTCGGCCATAGATTGTTTATTTTTTTTGTTGTCGAACAATGTCGGATAGTATTTTAGCTGCCAGTTGCTTGTGTGGCCATGCAATTCTAGTTTAAATTTTTTTATATGTTATTGTATTTTTAATGATATGACATTTTGTCATGGACTAATGTTTATCTTGAAGAGTCCACTTATTTCTCCTATGTTAAAGTGAAAAATAGCGGTTATTTATTTATAACTCTATTCGTATTACTGGTGCTTCTGCTACTATTGTAATTACATAATTATGAAGCTTAGTTAGAATGGACAGACTCAAAAATTTCGTAGAATTTTGACCTAAATATATCTACTTATTCCGCTGTTTTAATGGCTCAATCCATACACAATGCTTACAATCTATTATTATGTAGTAGAATTGATGGAAACCAGGCGCCGCGTATAAATATTGGTGTTGCTGTGAAATATTAGCCAAGAATTTCTAACTATATTTCATACACGCAAGTTTTTAATTCATTTCTAAATACAAAAGAAAATTTAACGCATATTTTTATAACCCATTAATCAGAAATAATCATTATTGCAACAATTTTTCTTTTCTTATTATATCTGATATCAAATTGGCAGCCGCTAACTGTAAGTCCCTTCGTAAACAAAGTAATGTAAATCTTTGAAACCTGGCGATTGTAGTCGCTACGCCCTCTAACCCATACAATGTTATTGAGGCTTACACACAAGCACACGTCGCCGACATTTTGTTATTCAATCGGAAAAAGCAGTCGCTTGGAAGCTTGTAAGATCGTCGTGGCAAAAGTTGCTGCAATTTTCAAGATGGCGAAGCAAAACTATACCTTTACCATGTAGTCGTTATGTTTGTATTGATCGAATAGATGACTTACGTCGACTATTCAACTTTACAACACGCGCTACGCGATATTCGCGACTAAAGTACGCAATGTCAGTTTCAAAGACTTACGTTTCCTTGTGTATGTAGGGCCTATGCGAACGTTTGCTTAGACAACGACTAACTGACCGTATTAGAAATGAATTGTCTCATGAGAGGCTTCTATTTCATTTCTTCTTGCAAAAAAGCCTTACAGTAATCATTATTATGTCGCAACTGAAACTAAGCAACAAGTCAAATAACAAAATTTGCACTTATATAATTTAATTGATTAATTAGTCCCACATTAAATATTTTAAAAAAAACATTAATTTCATATTTTAAACTTAGTTAAATTTGTTTTAGATATGATTTGCTTAAAATTACGTTCTTACATGAAAGTATTATACTATATCAAAAATGTCAATCATGCGATCTAAATTTTTTATCACGTTTGAGTCATCATATGATTGTTAAATATCTTTTTCTATAAATAGTCTAGTATTTCCGTGACGTGTGATCACGCGCTCATTTACATAAGCGAGTAATTTAGTTTTGTAACGCAAGTTTAATGGCCCCAAATGTATACGTAATCAACGTGACATTGCCGAAACATTTGTATAAAGAAAATATTGTTGTCTCTGTCTTGAAGAGAATGAAAGAGATGTCTCACGGATTTCGTGGCCCAACACGACGTGGGTGTCATCATATGTGATAGCAATAGCATAGAAATAATAAACATTTTTTTTATAAATTTTTGATGTAAATATAAATTATGATTTCCTTTTATTTACTTTATAAAAGTTTGATGGAAATATCATTTTGGAAAGAAGAATAAATTTAAGAAAGCTTTCATGTTTATAATAAAAGGTGTTGAAAGATTGAAATAAAAGTATAAATATTATTTTCATTCATATTATTAGACTTTCAGACAAATAGTGTACGTGTAAAGGTGCATTTTCACTGTCGAAATAATCGTATAAAAATTCATCTTTCTTAACATCGAAATATTCAGATAATTTCATATAACATTATATATAAAAGTAAGTCGTGTTAGTTACACTATTTATAACTCAAAAACGGCTTTACCGATATGGATGAAAATTGGTGAGGAGGTAGCTTAGAGCCAGGAGACGGACATTAGGATACTATTTAATCATTTTGTTTTTTTTTCGAATTAATTTATTGAAGAGCTGCTTTTTATTTAACTTACTAATATTATAAATGCAAATGTCTAGATGGATGGGTGTTTGAAGATATCTCTAGAACGGCTGAATGGATCTCGATTAAATTTGACATACGTATAGAACATAGTCTGAAAGAACACATAGGCACTAATTAAGTTTTTTTTATATATCCGCGGACGGAGTCGCTGGCGACAGCTAGTAACAATATATTTTTAGTACGAGTCTATTGGCAGTTAGAACCTACGTTTACAATCTTACTAATATTATATTGGAGAATGTGTGTACGGATGGATGTTTGTTAGAAGGTATCTCCAGAACTGATCTAGGTGAAATTTGACATAGATGTAGAACACAGTGTGCAAGAACACTATTTAAAGTTTATTTATGGAGTCGTCTAATTCAATCATCTTGATATGCATTTAAATATTAAATATAGCCGTCCGCACCTACAGTTAATTCCATAAAAGAAACTCTTAGTGTTATTCATTACCTAATCTACACTAAGAGGACCCTTAAATATAGATTAAACGAACCTAAGTATGTATTACGGAGTTTTACTTTATTACTACATATTTGGGTCATTTTTATACTCTAATTAACGGGTCGATTCAATGGAGTGAAGATTAACACGTCACTGGATATCGTCGACCCTTAAATTATTAAAGAGAAAACGGATACTAATTTAAAATATATAAAAACATAGTCATCCTTTTCATTTTATAAGAAAAAAAAGAGATAATATGTTTTTGTATACTTCAAAGTGATGGCTAAAAGTTACGAATTTGTTTTACATACCAATTGCTGTACCCAGACTTTAATTTAGCTTAAGGAGATCTTTAGTGTTGATTTAATCATGAGCTCACTATACGTCTCCCCTGAGGGACTCGAAGCCTACCCAAAGACAGGTTTCACTAAGCCGTAGTCAACGTCGGCCTAGTGCGGGTAGACTTCACATATATCTTTGAATTTCGCAGCTATGTGCAGGCTGCATCACGATTTCCTTCAACGTAAGAACGCGGATGAAAATATGTAGAAAACACATTGGTATATGCCGGGTTTCAACCTAGGACCTGCAGATTGCAAGTCGCTTAACCCCTGACCCACTGAAGCTCTACATTAATTATGAAATATTTTAATTCACTGTTTTTACACTTTTTACTGCACTGAGTTATCACTCTGTACAGTAAAATGACTTGTTAATTGTTATATTTTCGCTAATATTTAATATTAAATTTCAGAAATTCTGGGGTCCACAAATAGATCCCAGATTAGCGCAGTATCTAACCAACTTTTTGTTCGGTTCTGGCCAACAAAAGACTGCTACAGTCGACTTCAATAGATTTGCAGAACTCTACGTGTATAATGTAAGAGGTACGTATCCAGAACACAACTGCAACCGCAACTGCAACTGTAACCTTTGTGAATGGACTGGCTGTAAGGCGCGATTCTTTGTTTTCATTGAATAAGCTCCAAAACTACTAAATTGATTTGAAGAATTCTTTTACTGTTGGGAAGTTACCCCGGTTGAATTAGTATTTATTTATTAATGACTAGCTGTCGCCCGCTACTCCGTTCGCGTGAAATTAAAAAATAAATAAATTTAATTACTTCCCGACAATTATTCGAATTTTTCTCACCTTTTAAACGTTCTCTAGACCGCCACGAACATTTCAATACCAAGATAAGATAAATCCGTTCAGCCAATCTCGAGTTTTAAAGAGACTAAAGAAAAATTTTCCCCGTTTTTGCAACATTTCTTACTGATGCTTCGCTCCTATTGGTCGCAGCGTAATGTTGTATAGCCTAAAAACCTTCCTCTATATATGAACGATCCAACAAAAAAAGTATTTTTCAAATCGGACCAGTAGTTCCTGAGATTAGCACGTTTAAACAAACAAACTCTTCCGCTTTATAATATTTGTATAGATTTTTAAAATTTATTTGCGGACTAAGTCGCGGGCAACTACTAGTGTTGATTTAATCTATTACTTGATAATAGGAACTGTTGATGAAAGAATGATGGTGACATACAACTGTCTGGGCATGGACTACAATGAAGAAGTGGAACTACCCTACCAGCTACTAAAAGAGGTTAGCTTGTTACGTTTTAATATAAATTTCCCAAATAGCAAAAAAAGAAAAAGCAATATGGCCGCCATATGGAAAAAAACGGTCCTCAGATAACTTAGGCTATTTAATTTGAAATTAACAAAATTAGCGAATGTTTGGATGGATGGAATGATGTTTGTTAGAAATTATCTCCAGAATCGTGAAACGGATCTCTATGTAATTCGCCATAGATGTAGAGCATAGTCTGGAAGAACACATAGGCTACTAATTAAGTTTTTTTTAAATTGTGCGCAGGAGTCGTGGGTGACAGTTAGCTATGGAGTAAAAAATAAGTATTTTGTCTTGTTTTTTTTTTCAGTATTGTGAAAGTATAGCATCAACTTACATAAAGATGGTGAAATCATCATCATCAAAACGGGTACGTGTTTGGATGGAGAAAGGGTTTAGGGCGAGTGCATCACACGTCCAGGCTCTAGGTGAGGCTGTGACCGCGACTATCGGAGACTTGGAGTCACCACAGCATCATTGTACGGCAGCTCAGCTATCTAAATGGTAAGGCATCCGACTCGAAGGATTATTTTTTTTATTAGGAATGTATGGAAGTTTTCTTATATGATTTTTGTATATTTTTAAGATTAATAAAGTAGACTAGTTACTGGCATTTGTAGGTTAAAATATGAAATTTTACTTAATTTCTAGTCTGAAATGGGTTTGCTTTCAATTGTGGAGTGCTCTAAAAGTATAGTTAGTCGAGTTTTTTTTTTACTTTGCTATTATAATGCATAAGATGTTATTATGTACTATTTAATCTTACTAATATTACAAATGCGAATGTTTGGATTGATGTTTGATAGAAGGTATCTCCGGAACGTCTCAACGGATTTTGATGAAATTTGACATAGATGTAAAACATAGTCTGGAAGAACACATAGACTACTAAGTTTTTAATTCCGCACGTACGGAGTCGTGGGCAACAGCTAGTTAAATGGATTTATTGTTTCAGGTTGCAATCAAATATCTTATTAAAACAACTAGCGGAATTGGTTTATGTAAATTTGTACGGTATCAACAAACGTGGAGGAGATGAGAGTCCTACTCCAATGCCTCCTGCAGCGCCCTCTTTACTGCCTATACCTGATGGTAAGTCTATAAAGTTTTAATACTACAGATAGATGGCGCTTTTTACAATTTTATATTTATTTGACTTTTTCCACGACATAAATTTAAATATTTCCGTTGAATTTGTTTGAAAATTCATCATCATCAGCTCACTATATGTCCCCACTGAGGGGTCATAGGCTACCCTAAGTTAGGGTGATTAGGTCATAGTCAACGCTGACTCAGTTTGAGTTGACTTCACGCATATCTTTGAATTTCTTCTCAGATATGTGCAGGTTGCATCATGCATGTTTTCCTTCACCGTAAGAACGTCGGATAAATGTACATATGTATATCGGAAATAGAAAAACACATTGGTACATGGCGGGATTCGAACCCAGGACCTGCAGATTGCAAGTCAAGTGCTTGACCACTGAGCCACTGACGTTAATATAGTATAGACAGTTTTTTTATAATTAAATACCAGCTAATAAGTGTTGTTTTAGGTCTGGACGCAATGCCTGACTACCCTGCTTTCATCGATTTATCCCATATCGTATGGATCAACAGTCATCTCCCGCAGAAGTACCAACGCAAATGGCGGTTTCTCTTCTCTTCTCATATACACGGAGAGTCATTCTCTACTATGGCAGGTGAGTTTTATAAAGGTGGCCCAAAACTATTCACTGTACTCATTTTTATAAGGTCTTATATGATTTGAGTCATGTTAGTTACTGTATAATTCAGAAATGGCTGAATCAATTTGGCTGAAAATTGGTGGGAGGTTAGCTTAGAAAGTGATAAAGGTCATAGGATAATTTTTAACAAAATCTAATCTTATTTTACTAATATTATAAATGCGAATGTTTAGATGGATGTTTGTTAGAATGTGATGTAACAGTGGTAGAGCCCGCTTTAACATCTTCCCACGAATTGTCCCATCTCGTCCGGTGAAATATCACGACCACATAGAAGACAGGCGTCAAGTGGAAGCTATTCCGCGTTTCGTCTGATGAGTGTGCGTCCCGGAGGCCTAATTTAGTCCTCTTTCCCTTTCCATCCTTTTTCTTATAAGGAAAGGATGGGAAGTGGAAGTGGATTTCCGGATGAGGGGATGCATGGAAAGGGAAGATATTTTCTTTCTGTGCATCCTCTTCTCCGTCGATTAAAGGTAGGCAACGCATGCAATTGCGTATGTCTATAGGCAACGGTTACTTCGCTATTTTAGCGATTTTAGGTGGCAGCTCGCTCGTTTGACACCTTTTGATATAAAAGAAATTATGTTTCTCTAGAACGGCTGCATTCTCGCTAAAATTTGTCATAGATGTAAAACATATTCTCGAACACATAAGCTACTTATATTTTTTTAATACCAATCGAAGTCTGGTGTGAAAACTAGTATGTTATATTTCCAGGTCGTATAATAGAGCAAGGTCCATCAGTGCTGATAATTGAAGACAGCAGCGGGCACATATTCGGGGGGTTCGCGGCTTGCGCCTGGACATTCGGTCCCAACTTCACCGGCACTGATGAGTCGTTCCTCTTCACAGCCGCCCCCAAGATGCGCGTCTATCCTGCAACTAATTACAACGACCATTATCAATATATTAATCATCATACAAAGACCTTGCCTAATGGTTTGGTGAGTGAAGCTTTAACATTTGTTCATCATCAGCTCACTATACATCCCCAATGAGGAAACCTCGGAAACCTACCATAAGTAAAACGACTAGGCCATAGTCAACACTGGCCCACTGCAAGTTGAATTATACATATCTTTGAATTTCTTCTCAGATATGTGCAGCATCACGATGTTTTCCTTCACCGTAACGTCAGATAAAAGTACATATGTAAATCTAAAATTGAAAAACACTGGTACATGGCAGGATTCGAACTCGGGACCTGCAGATTACAAGTCGTGCTTGAACTCCTGAGTCACCGACACTCTACATATCCTTTTTTCTTTCTTAGACCCCATAATTTACTAGCTTGCTTCTTCAGTCACGACACGCCCACTGCTGGGCAAAGACCTCTTAAAACATCGCCATGTTAATCGGTCTTGTGCGGGTAGCATCCAGGATACTGCCGCAACCTTGACCAGATCCTCCCTCCATCTAGCAGGTCTGCACATGCTATGACGACTTGGTGGTGGTCGACATTCCAGGACTTTGCAGTCTCCTCTGAACTCTCTGCATCATTGCAATCTTGATGAAGTTAACTTTATTTCTCGTAATTTTGATCCCCCTTCCGTGTCAAATTAATTCCCCGGGGGTCTGAACGTACTTTGGGACTGATTTGTTTATATTTTGAATACAGTTAATGGGTGGTCAATTCCACTTTGGGGGTATCTGGGTGAACGCGGATCCGTTCGGTGAGGGGTCCTCGGCGGAGTCTTGCAGTACTTTTAGGGGGTACCGGCGTCTCAGCAAGGACCCCACATTCCATATACGTAGTCTGGAGGTCTGGGGGGTCGGAGATAAACCACTCACAGAAAAGGAACAGGTAAATAACTAAGGAATTTATCTTAGCAGGAATTTTAGTTAATTCAAGACAATAGATGGCGTTGTTTTATAATTTGTTTTTTTTTTCTCTTAGGAAAAGTTTAGCATGATTTTAAGAATTCTAATTATAACAGTTTTGGTTTGTTTGCTATTTTGTAGACGTCAAATATTACCTACAATCTCTTTCTCACTCTTACACGATAATCCTACAGACAGATAGAGAGAGAGAGAGAGATGAATCAGTTTTTCATACATTCCTTCCATATCTCATACATTATCCTTTTTAATTGCTATCCTTTATCTTCCTATCCTTCCTAGGCTCTCCTCTCGGAGCGCTCTGCGCGCTGGTCGGAGTACGAGTTCGTACAACTGATAGCAAAGCCTGAACTAAGTCAGGGATTTGTTAAATGAATACTAAATGGTTAGTATTTTTTACTGTCCACAGAAAGAGAGAAAGAGAGTGAGAGAGATAACTATATGTTTCAACATAAGTGTAATTCAAGATTGTTAACTAGTAGATTAATTGAAAAATATTGTATGGAGTGGTAAAGATACTGAGTTCACTGTAAATGACTGATTTAGTAATTTGAGATGTGTTTTTATAATCGTGGGGTTTCACTGTGGTCTATTAAAGTGTTCATTGCGAAACTAGCTGTAGCCCGCAACTCTGTGCGGAATTAAAAACACTCGCAAACAACCTATGTGTTCTTCTGTGATCCGTTCCTGTCTTCCTTCAACATCCATCCATCTAAACATCCACATTTATAATGTTTATTAGTATGATTGCATGTTTTATCGAATGTGTGTAGGAGGAGCGTGATGTGAGCGTACTGGACACGAACCCCGAGGCAAAGGCGATACTGGACATGGCGGGACGCACGCGACACAGCGAGGGTATACGTGAGCCTCCGCCGTTATAAACATAATCATCTGTAAGTAATAATAATTGTAGTAGTTTGGACACTTATATAAATAATTCCTTTTCCTGTACCCCCCTCTGTCCATTAAAGGTAAGCACGCATTTCCAAACTTAACAAAAAGAAATAACCAATAAGCCCGGATACATACCTTTCAGTTAAAGTCCTGTCCAAAACAGTCAAGCTGTTGGAAAACGGATAGAAAAATTTTAGATTTTTTTTTCCGTTATAGGTAAATCACGTATACGAAATATGATTTTATTTGCGATGTTACAGACATACAAAATTTATTAACTATTTATAGATAGATTTCTGATGGAAGAAGCCACTTCGCCATTTTAGCGACCGTTGTCTTACTGATCTTATGGTTATTAAACAATCCATTAAGAAAACATTTTTAATATTAAATGTACACGACGTTTCTTTCTTGTTAGTTCACGTCTCGTTGGTTTTTGAAAATAAAATTATTTTATAAATTATATCATCCCTCATATTATTTTAGACAAAATAGATAAAATAAATGTTTTATACCTAAATTAACCTATAGAGAGTCGGTGGCTCAGGGGTCAAGATAGAGAGTCGGTGGCTCAGGGGTCAAGCACTCGACTTGCAATCTGCAGGTCCTGGGTTCGAATCCCGCCATGTACCAATGTGTTTTTCGATTTCCGATTTACATATGTACATTTATCCGACGTTCTTACGGTGAAGGAAAACATCGTGATGCAACCTGCACATATCTGAGAAGAAATTCAAAGATATGAGTGAAGTCAACCCGCACTTGGGCAGCGTGGTTGACTATGGCCTAATCACCCTTGATATAGGGTAGGCTCCGAGCCCCTCGGTGGGGACGTATATTGAGCTGATGATGATGATGATGACCTAAATTTCGGTCTCAGAAACCAACATTATTTCTTGATAGTTATTGCCTATTATTGACAGCCTTTATATAAGACTTTCTTTTTTCCAGATATTCCTATCGGAGATCTCCAAGTGTTTACCATCTGGTACAAGTCATTTTTAAATTTTTCGTCATCCTTAGTTATAATTGTAGATATAAATATGATATTTATTCGCATCTAATTATTTATGCTTTTTAGTTATTTTGACCAAATCTTATGTTGATAAAACATAACTAGATAATGGGGAGAAAAACTGAAAGTTCTATGTAGGTGGCGCTAGCGTCAAGTAGGCTGACATCTGTCATCTGTCAAAATGTTTATACGTCATTGTAGCGATTTGAAAAAACTGTATTTCTTTTCATTTTTAAGGTTCCGTACCTCCGAAGGAAATGGTACCTTTATAGGATCACTTTGTTGTCCGTCTGTCTGTATGTCAAGATCCTTTTTTTTTTGTTATAAAGTAGCTATCGCCCGCGACGTAAGTGTGGAATTAAAAAAAAAACTTAATGAGTCTATGTGTTCTTCAAGACTATGTTCTATATCTATGCCAAATTTCATCAAGATCCGTTCAGCTTTTCCGGAGATATCTTCAAATATCCATCCATTCAAACAAAGGTTTTTCTCCCCATTTATGCTATTTATTTTAATATCAAATCGATATAATTTATATATGTCTATAATTATAAATTAGTGTGCTTGTTGCTTAATATAATTTAAATCATAAAAATTGGGTCCCAGCAACGTACTTAGGGAGCCCACATTTTAAATATTTCTATATGAAGTTAGTACATTTTATTAGTATTATTTATAATTATTTCGTCTTAGGGAACATACCCATACTAATTGACCTATTTTTGAGTTTTTTCGACCCCTCCCTCCCCTTGGTGACCACTCGTAGTACATGCCAAGATCCCCTCCCCCTTTAGTTTTTACGTAGTAACTCATAATTATGATTTTTAATCAATTCACAGGCAAAAATTGAAAAAAAAAAGGCTCATACTCTTCTTTATAGCATAAGACTGCATGCATACTTAAATTACTAGTGAATTATGTATTATGAAAAAATACAACTAAAGACTACGTGACTAAAAATCTGAGACCCCCTCCCCCCGCTCCTGTGACTGACCGTAGTATTTTAAGGACTTCGCCCCCCCCCCTCCTAAACGGGTCACGTAGTATGGGTAGGTTCCCTTATTAATGTATGAATAAAATAATTTGCTTAAGAGATATACTTAATATTGCTTAAAAAAAATTTAATATAAATTAGCGTTATAATGATGTCAAATGCTATTTAAAATACCGTGTCATAATTTTGAACGTTGCAATATTTATTTCTATGAATTTGTTGTATATTTTGTTTGTAAGATAAAAAAAAAATGAACTCACGTTACCCAAAGATGCCATATGTTTACGTAATAAATTCATTAACTAAGATAATTTGATGTATAAGAAACATACTGTTCCTAATAGTTTTTTTTATTATTTATGGAATTAGGGTTGCCAGGTCGTTAAACCAAATATCCCGACAGACAGTTTTTCCGGACACTTTAGTAGAAAGGCTGGACACCCTACATTATTGAGGATTTTGTCTCGTCGCCGGTACTCGGCCACTTTCGTATGCAAATTGTAAAAACCCGAACACCGTTTATTTTAGCCGGACACACAAAATTAACCTGTCCGGTTTTATCCGGACGCCTGTCAACGCTATATAGAATCATTATGCACGTATTATACTTAAATAGAATACATACTGTACGTATTTTTTTAATAATTTTAACTAACGCACAATTTATTAAATTTGCATATATATTTCGGCTTTCTAAGGCACTTTTTTTTTCTTATTTATCTATTTTCATTAATGCAAAACAAGTATTAGACCTTTTCCCATAGTTAAAGGTAAATAACGTATTTATTTATGATTTTACCTAGATCTTTCTATGTGATACCTTATAAGCCTGAAGTTGAATATCAAAATTATTCCAAATTGAGAAAATTATGTAAAGTTTTTAATTATTTATAAATTTATATCTGCTGTAAAAATTTGTCTTTCAAACATTGTTATAGACAAAGACGTATTATTATGAGTATAAACAATTTTTTGCTACCTCTGACCACTCTATATAGATAATAAATTCTCTATTGCTTTAGTATTTATAATCTACGTTCGCGCCATTTTGTCAATGTGTCAAAGTCGTGTCTATGGAAGCTTAGATGTTTGTAACAATGTATTTTGTAAGATGTACAAAATCTATTTATTATATTAAATAATTCAAAAACTCCGGTTTATTTATTTTATTAATAACTTTATTTCTATATTTACAGGTACACGTTCAATAGGTTAGTATTTTTACTACTATTTTTCAACTAGAATATAATAATATTATGACCTATATCTAATTGTAAAAGAATGTTTTACTTTTTTAAAAGATAACTCTTGAAGACAACATAAAAGTGCAAACATTTTCAAGAAATGGCTAAAAACTAAAACATAATCCATTAAGAATTATAGCTTAATTTAAATTACTTTCACATGCAATAAAAAAAACAATTGTAAATTTAAAAAGAAAATTATGAATCTATAGTCTATGGTTATGACTACAGATTAGTAAATTGAATTAATAAACTACGCATTTGAGACGATACATTCATTCCTCTTCCCAATAGAGAGATCTATAGGTTCATCACATCCGATAGGATTGAGTCCTCTCTCACCGACATCTTTAGTAAACTCATCAGGACTGCATTTGGGCTGGTTACTGCGGTTATGACAGATCATGCCGTACAATGGTACCGGTATGGTAACATCAGAGAGATCATTGACCTCGGATTTGGTGGCATGAGCTTGATTGAATTTACTCGAGTTACGGGAATGCATTCTAAAAGAAAATTATACATGTTATTATTGCTGGTCCACACAAAGGTATATTTATCTTATTTTATCTATATTTAGAAACTCTATGAACTATTCGAGCTGAGCGTCTGTGGCTCAGTGGTCAAGCACTTGACTTGCAATCTGCAGGTCCTGGGTTCGAATCCCAATTTTCGATTTCCGATTCTTACGGTGAAGGAAAACATCATGCAACCTGCACATATCTGAGAAGAAATTCAAAGATATGTGTGACGTCAACCAACCCGCACTTGGCCAGCGTGGTTGACTATGGCCTAATCACCCTTAACTTAGGGTAGGCTCCGAGCCCCTCGGTGGGGACGTATAGTGAGCTGATGATGATGAACTATTCAGCAGTTCATCAATAGAAGAACCAGAAATAAGTAGTCTTGATTCTTACAACTTATTTCATTATCTGTGCATCGTAAAGGCTGGCAACATTTGCTTGTCAATGTCTAGGGTTATCTATGGTCACTTACACTTCAATTTTTATTATTAATCAAAAAGTTTGTGTTTAATACAATAAAAGCAGTAATTTACTTGTATTTGCGACACGCGTCATCGCGATGTCGCTCGAGATAACGACGTTGACTGAAAGCTTTCCCGCACTCCGAACACCGCCATTCCCAAGAGTGATGGCCGCGCGTGCGCTGATGGGCGCGCAGGTTTGACCTATAAAATTACTATCGTTCTATCACTGCTACCGCACTCAGGGTCATTTAAGTATACTAAATCTACACTAATGAAGATCACTTAAGACTGCAATAGTAAGACTCCACACTTTTTTAATAATAAGTTTTGTAAAATGAATTAAACGAACGTATACTATATTAATATATTTCTTGCTATTGCAACAAGATAGGGGTATATTTAAAAAGTGTTTATCGTGCTTTAGTTACTACCTCTTTTCTTCTTATATTTTACTCTTAGACAAAGAACTGTTTAAAAATAGTTTAAACCACAATATAGATTTCACCGAACAAACCTATCAGAAAACGTCCTGCCGCAACTTGGATGTGGACAGGGAAAAGGTCTCTCCCCTGTATGGAGTCGTAAATGTCCCTTCAGTACCCACGGCCTGTCGAAACCTTTCCCGCAGTACGAACAGATGTGGCTCGGCCGCACACGACGCTCCGTCCAGTCTACCAGCTTAGGATGACTGCGTGGTTCTACGTTACCTAGGAAATACTGGTAATTGACAGTCAAATTTTATGACAAATGTAAAGAACAGCGCGTTGAATCCCGTCTCTATATCTCTATACATACTGTCGATAATTGTGTTCTGTTCTAATTGTGCGATACTCAAAGCTATCATGAACATTTAAATACACTACCTACAGCTACCTGTGAACCGAAAACCTAAGAATGTAGTCGAATATTGTACCTTTACTTTTATCTTTACCATCTTCTTCAGCTGTCTCCTCCTCGAAACCTGGCTCCAGACTGGTCTCATCAAACGACTCCTTGCAATACAGCAATTCTTTGTTCAGCTTCTCATCACAGTTAGTCTTTACCAAGTTTTTTAGTTTCTCTGCTATTTTATCTATCTCTGTACCACCACGATTGGTGCATTTTAAAAATTCTCTATGCTTAATTTCCTCTATGATTGGTGCTAACGGTTCCTTTTTCAATCTCTTTTTGACTTCATTTACTTTTAATTCGTTCGATGGTAAATTTTCCATATCATTTGATGTAACTGAATTTTTTGATTTTCTTTGCGCTCGTGTTCTTTCCGTGAATATTTTTCTTTCACCTTTCGATTCTGTTGATCGCAGATTATAAGTAGAAGATTTATCAAGATCTTTTTTGACTTGACAATTGTTTTTTTTAGTTTCCGATGAATTGATAGCCTTTTCACTTTCAGATGCATAATCGTAACTTTCATTTTCTATAAAAGTTTGCAGAAATTGACTCCTTTTTAATAATTGAAGATAGAAACGCGTGGAAATAGGAACTTTATCGTGGTATACAGTTTCATTGCTTTTTAGTAAAGTTTTTTGTTTTTTAGCTATTAATTTTGGTGTTCGTCCTGGTTTTAAATCATCTGGAAGAAGACTTTTAGTTAAGGAGAGGAATTCTTTGTTGTTCACCTCTGTCAAATAACATTTGCTACCATTAGGACTGATGATTCGAATGTTTTTTTAATAGTTGACGGAGTCATAGTAAAATTTCGACAGTGAGTAGACATATGTGTACTTGAGCTGAGAATTAAACCAACTCTTGGATCTCGAAAATATTCAGATATGTTTTAATATGCAGCTTATTTTAACGAAATTTTAGTAAAAGTTCAAGGTCAAAAATATATACTACATCTCTTGGGCCAAATAAATAAAAAATTATTCAAAAATAAATCAATAAAGCGACATATAATACGATGTACAAGTTAGGTACGTTAATACATATAACCATTACGATATTTGGTACTAAAATAAAATGAACCGCAAGAATAAATTCCAGCAAAAGATCTAATAACATTTGTAAAATAATATTATTTAAATATTAAGACTATATTTCGTGTTAATAATTTACATACATTTAGTTTAAAATGACATTACGTTTATTTTATAATGACTTACTTTCAATGAAATTATTTCCATATTCTTCTAAGAAACGGAACTGTACTGGTTTTACAGAGTTTAAGAAACATCTAGGCATTGTTACAAACAATAATATCAATGTGGTATTATCCAATAATTGGTTAATAATAAATCAAAAGTGCGTTAAAAAAGTAATACTGTAGCGCACTTGCTATGACGGGTCAAGAAACAAGCGCTCAAATGAGTTTCTGAATAAAGTTTTCGAATTTTAAATAGAATCAGTCGCCAGTAGTTTAATCTGTAAATGTCAAATATTCTTAACCTACAAAAAAGTATTTATTACGATCTGAAACTAAATTTTATAGGAATATTAATTAATAAAAAAAATCGTAATTTATTCTATTATAATAATATTATTTTTAGAAAATATTTTAATAATTTTAATGAAAATTTATTCAATTTTTAATATTAACGTCAGTGCATATAAAAACTTTTCTAATTTTTATAACAATGTTGCCACATTGCCAAAATTTAGTTTCTTATTAGGGAATTTTCCAAAATCTTAAAAGCTGATTCAAATAACTGCTTAATAAAAACTGTAAAAGTAATAGAATAACGAAAAATATAATAGATTATTTTATGTTTGTACAATTATTGTTTAAAATTTATTTAAGTAGACCACTGCAAGAATATTTTAGACATCGATCGTTGGTTCATTGTTATTTTCCACTAAAAATATGTTTATATTATAATTATAATTTATCATCACTTTTCAACGCTTTTTTATAAACAAATGTATCAAAAATTTTATAGAAAAAGGTAGCATAATGATATGATATACGGAGTGAAAGCTTTCATATGACGGAGAGTATGGAAAATAGATAACCCGGGTGCGAGACATGCTACTCCGACAGAGACAGGGGATACGACAGTCAGGGCGCGTTGTGTTACCATATTTATGATATTTCCCTATTTGAAAGATGTTAGTTAAATTAGCCGACTTTTGATATAATACATTTTCACCTGCCGTAATATGGTGCTATACATATTCAATAAGATGTTAATCAATGATATTTAAGATACATTTAATCAGGAACTTATAATAACTAAACCAAATTTATAAATATACGATTGTCAATTTTGTTTATCACAAGCTTAATTAATAATTTTAGTAATTCCCTTGAATACAAATGCTTTTACTGAGAAGAAAGAACACGATTAAGATTATATGGAGGTTATTTAATAATTGGTGAAATCTAAAAAAAATTCTATTAATAAAAAGTGAGCAAAGTATAATGAATTTGTTACAATCAAATAATTGAAAAAAAAATTAAATAATTCGGGAAAATAGCCTTACATGCATGGCAACATTATCGCGTGCATCGATTATTCGCCGCCGGGAGCTGTGACAGTATGGACGTGCGTTATAAATTTAGATTTGCCGCTCGAAAATATCGCGACGTTGTGAAATGTTAGTAAGGTGTGCCCAGTTCGGCGTGAGCGCGTGTGTTTATCAAATTGTGTGTTGTACTCGATTATTTTAGTGATGTGGTAGAAAGTGGTACGAAATGGGCAACTCTTGCAGTTCGGGTCAGGCTCACAAGGATAAAGACAATATTTCGCAGCATTCCGAGGAGTAAGTATGTTAACGTAGCGTGAAGGTTTTAAGACATATCTTTATGTCAGATTGTATTTGAATTGTACGTAACGGAGATAACAGACGGTACGAAAACATAAATCAATACAGGACTACTGCCGGATATCCGGGAACGAACGGGACAAATTTATTTATCATTTTACTCATCTCAGAAAATCTTAGCGAGAGTTGGCATTTTGACACGATTTGTATTGCTTATTTAGATAAATACGTACAAATTAAATCGAAAGAAATCTTCTAGAAATATCTTATGAATTTGAAATAAATACTGAAAGTCTGAATATGTTATTACTTAAATAAATTTGTTAAGATCTTAAAGAATTTGACAATATAAATGCTTTAAGCTTCAAATACAATATTCTAAAGTCTTTATTCCGATGAATCTTAAATTGAAAATAGGAGGAATTTTCTATATATAAAAAAAAATATACGTTTATGCCGACCATAGCTAATGGGCAAATCTAAATGATGCGAAACAAGACGATGTCTGCAGACAGTAGCAATGTATTATTACATGATGGAAAAAATAATTTGTATCATAGTGTCTTACCGTGGGTTTTTGAGACCAAAATCTATGGAAAAATTATATCACTAGGTCATCCCTGTCTCAGAAATTCACGGTAAAATAAACACATTTGCAGACATCTTACGTTGGGTTTTCACGGACATAACACATGTTGATACATATTAATTGTTTTTCTTTTAAGTAGTGCGTTTTACCACTGTAAAAGCACGACCAATTCTTACTTATATAAAAAATATATTAAAGTTAAAAATAAAGCAAGTTTTATTTTAAGAGTATTAAATATAAATTTCCTTTCATCTAAAACGATTGAAACAATTATTTCGCCGCTATGGAATTTATTAACGTCCAATTTCGTTGTCCAATTATAATTGACGTCTGTTTGTGAATCCAAAGCTAAATTGGAACACCAATTTATACTCGCATTGATGTATAAATTAAACGTCTCCTTGGATTTAGGATAACCTTTGAAAATAAACCGGATTTAATCCTTTACTATTAATAAATAAGTAATAACTATTTGGTTAATGAATCCGCTATGGGCCAAAAGGGTTAGGTTAACCTAACCTCGAATTTAGTGTAGGTTTGAGCTCCTTGGAGACATATATAAACCGACGAAAAGCTATATAAAGTATGTGAAAAAAATGTAAGAATTAAAAACAATTGTATTAACATATTTTTAGGGTTCCGTACCTCGAAAGGAAATAAACGGAACCCTTATAAGATCAGTTTGTTGTCAGTCCGTCTGTCTGTCAAGACCCATTTTCTTAGGAACGCGTGAAGGTATCAAGCTGGAATTTATTTTCTCTTAAAGTTCCTACATACTTATAATTTACGAAGGCTTTTGAGTCTTATGCTTAATATACATTATGCCAATAAGATAGAAGCTAGAAATATGAAGGCATCACAGACCTAATACAGGTCCAACATTATTCAAAATGACATATCCAAATAGTGAAGTCTTTTTTTTAAATTGAATACAGCTCCACCACGATCCCACTTGATATTATGATATGGTTGAAAGATGGCTTACCAGTTGTTCTACTAATATTATAAATGCGAATGGTTAGATGGATGTATGTTTGAAGGTATCTCTGGAACGTTTGCATATAGTATTCCTTAGTTTTTTTTTTAACTGTGTGTTTGTACGGAGTTGCGGGCGAAAGCTAGTAATAGAATTTAAATCACCAATCATATTTTGTAGTGATTTCTTAACTTCAAATATCGTCAGTATTCTTCTAGTGACGTATACATCGTAATATAATATTAATAACATCACGTTACTTCAACAAGCCGATGAAACCTCACTGTGAGGCCACTTACTATTCGTTACGTCGAAAAACTCCAATAAATACTACACATTCCCCGTCTCTGGCCGCAAGCCAACAACACATAAAATAATACTAGACTGATATTAGAACGGGTGATTCAATTAAATTATTTGTTTGTGACCCGACCAATTTATCTACGAAGTATTTTCTTTCGTTATTTCAGCCAGTCATTCCGTAAGAATGCTAATGATGAATAGAAATTAAAAAGATAGTGTTCTATTTTTGAAATTTCAAAATTTTAAACGTTATTATGATTTCCGTTATAATCCTGCTAGAAGGACTTTGTCTATCCAAACTTTAATGTACTGGTATTTTTCTCTCTATTCTTTTATCAAAAGGAATGAGAAGGACAACAATATGTATTCAGTTATGTTTCTACATTACATAAGTTTTATGAACTAATCAAGATTTATAACCGTAGTCCTTCGAGCCGGATTATAACAGATATTTTTGGCATGGTCGAATTTATATCGGGTCAACGAATAGGCAGACTTAGACTTAATAATGTTGCTGTATAAAATTTAGTACACAAAAATTGCCTTAATAGTATACGGCCAAGGAACAGTCGTTAATTGGCGTGTTGGAGCAAACGTTCACTACGCTCAGCCAAGACAATGGCGTTTAACAAAGTGTGATGAAGATCCCGCGTCACGCATGCGGTCAACACACGTCAGTTATTTCGAGAACATTCCTGTGCATAAGGTCAGTAATATGTCGTCTGATAAATCTGATATTCTTACGGTGAAGGAAAACAGCAAAGTATTTGAAAAACCTACGCATATGCGAAAAAAATCAAAGATGTATGTGAAATCAAGCGATTAAGCAAACGTAGATTTCTATGTCCTAGTTATTAAATGTCACGTTAAATAATATTTTATCTGTCTAAATTTCTAAAGTTTCCGAGACTAAAATCAACGTTTAAAATATATTGTTATCTCTGTTTTCTCAAAGATAATGACAGGGATGACGATATGTTTTATACAGAGATTTTGGTCGCGCAAAACCAACAGTGATACAGAAGGGTAACATTTTTATTGTCCTGTTATCCGTCACTTAGTAAGATATTGGTGACCCTAGCCATATAGTGAAGTAGGTCACGATGTTATGACGTCATTCCAATGCAAGTATATGTCACTGCGCTGTTATAGAATGTATTGAGTTACCGACGCACTCCAGATACACCCCCAGGGAGGCTGAGTGCATGCGAGTAAATAAGATTTATATTTTAAAACTATAAAAGAAAATAAATATTGTGAAGAAAACAACAGGGAGGTTAGACAAAAGGCATTCGCTACGAAGCGATTCCATAACGAACGTCAAAACTGTTTGTTGAGTGTTTCGGACGACAGTTACTATTATATAAATCAATTAAATTTAATTATCATGTCGTATATAATAGATGTTAGGTTTGTATGCTATTTGATTTGTTGCCAATGTTGCCAACTTCCTCTGTACATCGTCCAAATCAGCTGATCACAGTCTGGGTCTGATAATCAATCTAATATCGATACCAGCAGAGTAGAAATTATCCTAATCGTAATATAGGAATGAACGTCGGTGTCTCCGGAGTTCAGTAGTCGGCTTGAAACCCGCAGGTCCTGGGTTCGAATCCCGCCGTGTACCAATGTTTTCCATTTACATATGTACATTTATCGTGATGCATGCTCATATCTGAGAAGAAATTCAAAGATGTGTGTGTTGTCAACCCGTACTGGGCCAGCATTGACTATAGCCTAGTCACACCTAACTAAGGGTAGGCTCCGAGTCGGTCAGTGGGGATGTACAGTGAGCTGATGATGAATGTAGCATTGATGGAAAAGCTTTACGTAAACTGTCGCTGAAGTCAAGATTGGTGGTTATTTCTTTTTTTTAAATTACGTCTATATGTCGTTGGTTAAGCATATATGTATGTATGTACATATCTTACTATTATTATAAATGCGAATTTATAGATGGATGTTTGTTAGAAGGTATCTCCGGAACGGCTGCATGGATCTCGCTGAAATTTAGCATAGATGTATGTTTTCTTTTTTTATATATCATAAGTTGGCAAACGAGCGAGCGGCCACCTGATATCGCTGAAATAGCGAAGTGACCGTTGCCCATAGACATACGCAATTGCATATGCATTGCCTACCTTTAATCGACGGAGAAGAGGATGCACACAAAGAAAATATGTTCCCTTTCCATGCATCCTCTCATCCGGAAAGTCCACTTCCACTTCCCAACCCTTCCTCATAAGAAAAAGGGTGGGAAGGGAGAGAGGACTAAATTAGGCCTCCGGGACGCAGTCAGATGTAGTAAATAGTCTGGAAGAACATAGGCTACCGATTAAGTTTTTGTTAATTTCCGCTCAGACGAAGTTTATTACGTATAACGTAATAAAAACTTCGTTAACGTAAAAGTTTAAAACGAAAGTAAGTATTCACGATTCGCTTGCGGAAAGATTTATGGCGTAGCATTGCCAACTGACTGCATTCTGACGTCATTCATTCATTGACCTTACGAAATGTAAATTGAACGCTTGTAGAATATCTTTAAAACCTTTTATGTGGGTTGAAAGGAATAAGTTTAACATATACTCGTCCCTTTCGATCTCTTTAAAAACAACTGAGATGCAAACTGGGTTTGTATGATTTTTTTGCTAGTGTGAACACATGATTATATTCATCATCAGCTCACTATACGGCTCGGAGCCTTCCCCTTAGTTAAGGGTGATTAGAACATAGTCAACCACGCTGGCCAAGTGCGGGTTGGTTGACTTCACACATATCTTTGACTTTCTCATATATGTGCAGCATCACGATGATTTCCTTCACCGTAAGAACGTCGAATAAAAGTACATATGGAAATCGGAAATCGAAAAACACATTGGACCTGCAGATTGCAAGTCAAGTGCTTGACCCCTGAGCCACCGACGCTCTTGAACACGATTATATGTAAAAAAAAATTATTAATCATAGTTATCTTTTGCCAAAAGTTTAACCTTAAGTTAATATTTAAAATACCAGTAAATAAAACTTAATAAATTAATAACTTTCTCCTAGTATTTGTTACTCTGTGGTGTCGATTATTGTAAAAAAAAAAATCTACTCAAATCTCTTTTTTCTTTAATTCATTAAATGTTTCTTTTCTGTTTGCAATTTGTCTCTTAGTTGACAGTATCATAAAACAGGGCAAGGTCAAATTTCTTTTACTTCCTCACTGACCTATTTAATGGACAGGCTGTGAGCCATTGTATTTTGTGCCTATTTGATTTTTGCCATTTTAATCTAATAAGATATAGAATTAACTGTTAGGAATATCAACATGTACATTTATGTCGGAAAAACAAAAGCTGTAAGTTCGAAGCTACCCATTCATCTATTTTATGTTTCTAATCTTACTAATATTATAAATGCGAATGTTTGGATGGTATATCCGAAACGACTTGACGGATCTCGCTGAAATTTGGCATACATATAGAACATAGTCTGGAAAAACATATAGGCTACTTATTATTTTTTTTAATCACGGGCAGACGTAGTCGCGGGCTACAGCTACTCAAATATAATTACTCAATCCAAGGCAATATTTATCTGATACTATTTTGCTACTAAGCAATTAAAGTGGAACCAGAAGGGCCTCATTTATCATGACTAAGCGTTAGTCGTTAATCATGACTAAAATCGATGACGTCACAGCGACACAATTAACGACCCGCGTCGGAAAACCATTGGTATTTGAGTCGTTAACTTGATTAATAGTTTGGTTAACTAATATTTATTTAGAATCTCAATTGACTAGAATCTAGACTGTTCATATGTTAAATAAGACCTTTTCATTTATGGTCAACAGATTATATATTTAATTAGCTCACTTGCTTACTCTCGGCGGCCAAGCCTTAAGAAAGGGCTGACTAGGCCTTAGTCAACCACGTAGTCAATGCGGTTTTGTTATCTGCACAGATTTTCAAATTTCTAGCCTATGTGTATCACGATGTTTTCCATCACCTAAAGAAATTATTCTATTTATGTTTACAATAAAACTATAAGATCTCTGTTTATAGTTATTATAATAAAATTGTTAAAAAAAAGTTAATCTACATCACAGGGGACCGAAGAGCTGGCAGCTACCTCGGACAAAGAATTAGTATAGCTATTCAAAGGGGGAACGCTGTCAGTATCTTCGGAACCTTGCCTAAACTGACTAATTCCTTTTAATAATATATTTTAGATAATTATTGGTTTTTAATATTTTATTTATTGTTCTATTATGTTTTTATACAGGTATACATTGACAACGAATATCAAAAGGTTTGGAAGACAGATTTATTGATGACTTACTTATAATATGGTTTGTGTTAAGGTTTCATTATTACTATCTAACAGGATCGTTAACTCGTCTATTTTACTAACTAAATATTAAGTTCTAACAGTTTATATTAACCCTTAAATCATTTAACCATTTGCCATTTAATGTCTTGCCTAACTTTTTAAAATTACTAAATTTGTGTTTAAAGTAAAGATGGTCGTTTTTTACACTTTTTAGTGTATAAATTATTGTGTGCTATTTAATTATTAACTGACTGTTATGTGCGACTCCGACACGCGGAATTAAAAAAAACAATAGCTTATGTGTTCTTTCAAAATTTCATCGAGATCTGTTCAGCCGTTATGATCATGTATTTACAAACATATTCATGTATTTATCTTATTCTTAATATATTCCATTGCATATATAAAATAAAAAAAATATACAAAATATATTATATTAAAAATAGAGCACCACCGGCGAAATCCCATGACACAAACAACCAGTGGTCACTGCTACAAAGACAGGAACGTTCTCACGATGCGTGCGGTTTCTAGGATAACTGCCTTTTGTATCGGGCCTTTAATCCAACTGTTTAGCGAGAGCTCCTTGAGATGTTGGTCAAAGCTCTTCGCTATCAGTCCATTCACCGATACGACTATCGGAATAATAGTAGTCGATTTCATACACCACATGGCGGTAACCTCGTGAGCCAAATCTAGGTATTATAATATTATTAAGATTTAATAATTCAATTTTCAATTCAATTACCAGTACTAGACAACTATTTAAATAAACAACAATGAATGGACTTGAGTCTGAGCCATGTTTGCGTTGACACGTTTTAAAATAGACCGTTGACATCTGTCATTCATCATTAAAAGTGTATACAATAAATAAGTTAGTGTACTAACAATGATGGAGCGTCGGTGGCTCAGTGGTCAAGCAGTTGACTAGCAATCTGCAGGTCCTGGGTTCGAATCCCGCCATGTATCAATGTGTTTTTCCATTTCCGATTTACATATGTACATTTATCCGACGTTCTTACGGTGAAGGAAATCATCGTGATGCTGCACGTATCCGAGAAGAAATTCAAAGATATGTGTGAAGTCAACCAACACGCACTTGGCCAGCGTGGTTGACTATGGCCTAATCACTCTTAACTTAGGGCAGGCTCCGAGTCCCTCGATGGGGACGAATAGTGAGCTGATGATGATGATGACTAACAATGAATATTACAAACGTTTTCAAAAATAACTATCGAAATTTAATCCATTAACTTATTTTATTTTTGTAGTATTCCCGCGTATTTGTTTTCTTTGTAACGTTACGATGACGTACATCTGTCAACCTGACAGGCCGCCATTGTGCTGCGTTCGGTAACACGTCCATTTGCGCCGTAAATACTATGCTATAACTAATTGTTTATTTTTTTGTTTGTGTACGAAAAGTTGGTATAATTCTAATATTTTAAAAAATATAAAAATCATATTTGCGTTATTTTAATTTATTTAACTCTGGTATGCTATTGAAATATTTTTTATTTACTGTTTTTGAAAATGACGCTAAATCACTACTCTGTCAGTTCTTTGAATTTTGCTGTTCCAAATTCAAAACGCTGTCATTACAATTTCTCTGTCTTTTTTTTCTATCGATGCAACAGCACAAAGGTGTACAGCCAATGCAACGAAAAAGAATAAAAATATTTGCAGGTAAAGCATCACGCAGCTCGTAGGCCGTAAGTAGGTCGGGGAGGTCGCGCGTCACGCTCGCAGGAGGGGGGGACTGACGTCACGAGTTGTGACGTCAGTGCCCCTCCTCTGACCACGCCTTAGTATTAATATTACGTAGACGTATACGAGAAATTCGCGCTAAAGAGCTTTTGAATGCAAGATTTACTAACTCAATGTTTGATGAATCTTTGTTAGTAAAAGTGCAAGAATTCATAAGCTGTAGTAATTTAGGGGTAACTAGCGATCGCCCGCGATTCGATGTGTTCTTCCAGACCGTATTCTGTATTTATGCAAAACTTCATCGAGATCCGTTCAGCTGTTCTGGAGATACCTTCAAACAAACATCCATCCAAACATTCTAATTTTAGTAAGAAGTAAGATTAGGTAATTTCAAATTCAAATATGTTGTATTTTCTCTTGTATTTTTTCTACTGATATATAATATAAAACGTTTATTCAAAGTAGGTTAGTAAAGTTATTATTAGAAGGGGGAACCTATTTCCCTTTGCCCCGCACCGGAAGTGGCGTAAGGGGTGACATCCGCTCTATTTTCACTATTGTTCCTGCTCAGCCTTCCGACGTATGTTATCAACTTTAGTGTAGAGAAAATTGCATTACAATTCCCATCAACCAACTATTAATATACTATTTGAAAACACCGTATACAGAGAAGACACGCAAATATAAAACTACCTCTCTATATATATAAAAATCAGTTGCTGTTCGTTAGTCTCGCTAAAACTCGACAACAGCTGAACGGATTTATCTTATCTTGATCTTGAAATGTTCGAGGAGGTCTAAGGAAGGTTTAAAAGATGAGAAAAATTCGAATTATTGCCGGGAAAACCCCAAAAATAACCCTTTCCTTTTCCCATGTAAAAGGCTGAATAGACCTCGCTGAAACTTGGCATAGTATGTTATATGTTCTTCCAGACTATATTCTATAGTCTGGACATATAGTGTTATATGTTCTTCCAGACTATAGAATATAGTTTGGAAGAACACATAGACTAAGAATTATGTTTTATTTTAATTACGCGCGGACGAAGTCGCGGAGACACCTAATAGTAGATAAAATTACATATAACATGCATAAGGTAAAAGTACCCAGTAAATGATCACTATCACTTACTAGTGAGAGTCGAGAGTAAGTTATATAGATATAAGTTGATAGTTTTGGACTTGATTCTTTATAGCGAGGCATATAATCATTTCATTAATGCAATAAACATATTAAATATTTATTGCTAATATTATAAATGCGAATGTTTAGATGAATGGATAGATATTTGATAGAAGGTTTGCAAAGGTCAAGCGTTTGCAAAGGGCTTACAATGCCTTGCAGGTCCAATACAACAATGGGTTCAGGGCTCTGTTGGGGCTGGCGCGCTTCTGCAGCGTTCTGGTATGTTTGCTGATGCTGGTGTTGACGGCTTCGCCGCATTGATCAGGAAGAGAGCAGCATCCCTGATGCGGCGGGTGCGGGACAGCGCCAACAGCTACCTGCAACTCATTGTTGATAGAGTGGGATTGGACTGTCCAGTGCTGGCCATGTGGACACGTCTACATGTGCCCTGCAGAATTTTACGTTTTGTTTTGTGTTTTATTTTTGTGCTAGAATTTAGATTTGTATTTTTATTTTGTATGGACCATGTGTTTGAATTAAAGATTTATTATTATTATTAACGGTTCTTAGGGTAATTCGGCATAGATATAGAACATAGTCCGGAACACCTAGACTACAGATTAAATATTTAAAGTCCGCATCTCATTACTTTCTTGTTTGTGAACTCATCAATTAAGTACTAGTATATTAACCTTAAATATAAACGATCTTTATACTGAAAATACCAACTGGTATTACTACTAAGAACATAACACATTGTACTTATCGATATTATCTTCAAAGTAACTTAAATATTTAACTTGTATCCCATGTCAGATTGAATGGCCTCATGATAGAGTGCCTTGTTTTCTGACCGCGCTCTTTCTTCCTTCAGTGTTATGTTTTCTTTTATATTATAGATATATAATGTAAATATATTCTACTTTAATTTACAACACATTTATGTATTAATTTCTTTAGGAAAAGAGAAAAACATTAAGTTTATACATTGTTAATATCCAAATCGTAGATGTAGATGCTACGTCGTAGAATCGTAGCAAGACCGTAACTTGTCTACGCTCTACGATGAATATTTTGTAATTTTTTTTTCAATGATTTTAGACAAATATAATAAAAATATAATAGAAGTAGTTGATAAGTTAGTTTTCTAATAGAAATGATGCAACGCTCAAACTGGCCAAATTATTCTCGATATAAACCATACCAACAATGTATCCGGCACATTGACAGCATACATTTGGCGCAAATTTGGCGCTACAATATCACTGCCAATTATACAATACAAAGCGCTTTGAATTAATCATATGAATCAATTAACAATGCTAAATGAACGTGACAAAATAATTAATCGAGACAATGCTAATGTCGACAGCTGTATGCTACGGGCTACGACACGTAGCAACTAGCTACGCGCCATTATTTAATCAAATGATTCTATTTTTATATCGGGAGCGTCGATGGCTCAGTGGTCAAGCACTTGACTTGCAATCTGCAGGTCCTGGGTTCGAATCCCGCAATGTACCAATGTGTTTTTCGATTTCCGATATACATGTGTACATTTATCCGACGTTCTTACGGTGAAGGAAAACATCGTGATGCAACCTGCACATATCTGAGAAGAAATTCAAAGATATGTATGAAGTCAACCAACCCGCACTTGGCCAGCGTGGTTGACTATGGTCTAATCACCCTTAACTTAGGGTAGGCTCCGAGCCCCTCGGTGGGGACGTATAGTGAGCTGATGATGATGATGATTTTTATATAATCTATATTTGACCTTCTTTAAAACACATTATGAATTTAAAATTGGACGCTTTTATGTTCAGGTTATGTCGAAAAAAAATATAACTTTGAAGATACACTGCAAAATTTTATGTATAATACTTCCCAAGAAAATTAACTGGGTCTTCATCTAAAATATACTACTAACCAAGCTATGAAAGGTGTGTACCAAAGCTTTATCATCTTTATATCTCAGGCCGAACTGCTGCGCGCGCAGGTCGCCGTCTTATCGCACTAGCAAGGCCGCGCCGGAGCCCGAGCCGGCAGCAGATCCTCCGCTGGAGCTGCTCGAGCCTGCGCCCTCGCTGCGGGAGAAGAAGCCCTCCGTTAAAGTACCACGACCCGTCGCCTCCAGTGTATCAGGTGAGAGGGTACTTGTGGAAGTGACCTACATGTATTAATACGCCTTATTAAATGTACTTCCAAACCATTTTCTAAATTAAAGTTTGTATGATTGAATAAATTTAAATTAAAGCTTATATAATATTGGTTTCAAATCTATCAATCAACGATTTTGTCGTTTACGATAAGATTCCACTGCCGTAACAGTTTTGTCGATGAAAATAATGTAAGTCAGTAGAATTCTACGGTTATTTAGAACAGAATACAAAAATGAAAACATTCTAAATGAAATATAGAACAGAAACAGATAATCATAACAAATGTGTAGTGAATGCCGGCACAGATTCCATCTCATTGTCTTCACCGGTGGCATGCGCGTCGCCGCGAGAGGAAGTTGTGGGACCGCCGGTGCCGGCCAGCGTGGCTGCTCTCCCAGAGGAGCTGCGCTGCTTCCTGCTGGGGAAGACACCCCCAATGAGGACACGGAGGCGACGAGCTATGCTAATATATGTCTGTGCTGCAGACTCACAAGGTAAAAGACTATGCCATGCTGCTCAAGGAGAGTACTTTCTTAACTGCCAGGATATATTCACCATGGCTATGCATACCTCTGTATTCCATTTGAATCGTCTGTTGGGTGTCATTCTATTTATATTATTCAAAATATCATAGCGAACAGTCATACAAGTATATTTTTTTAATAACTAGGTAATCCTTGTGATTTACAGAACGGAATAAACTACATATCTTACTTCTTACTAGTATTATAAATGCGAAAGTTCAGATGGATGGACGGATCGGTGGATGTTTAGTTGAAGGTATCTTTAGAACGGCTAAGCCCATTTTAGTTGAAATTTTGCACATAGTCTGGAAGAACACATAGGCATACAGTTTTAATTCCACGCAGAGACGTGGGCGACAGCTAGTATATATTGATAGGATCATGGTGTGATCGTAAATATGTTATTCCAGATTGCTGCGCTGAGAAAGGCATACTGCAGTGTGCGGTGGCGGCGAAGCTACGTGTGCGCGCGCGGCGCCGCGGCTGGCGAGTGCATGTATCAGACTTACACTGGCGCTCGCCGCTGGAACAACAACGAGACCATCGCTTTCCAGTACTGTGTATCGCTGAACTAACCCGTAAGAACACTTTGTAGATCTTAAATTAGTCTGATATATAAGGAAAATGACCTTTCCTTCGACTTTATATCTCTCTGTTGATTAAGAATTACTTTCTTACGACAGTGGAAACTCACGTTAATAATTTTAGATAGTTCTGTTCTCATTTAGATATACATATGTACATTACCTAACGTTCTTACGATGAAGGAAAACATCGTGATGCTTTGCACATATCTGTGAAGATATTTAAAGACATGTGTAAAGTCAACCCGCACTGGGCTAGCGTTGACTATGACCTAGTCAACCTTAACTCCAAGTCCCGCATTGGAGACGTATAGCTGATGATGTTCTCTTCCCAGGTCAATCCGAATTAGGTGCGGTAGTACCAGTTCTCTTCCTGAACTCCGGCCTAGGCACGCCGCTGTTACCGCATACACTGGAGTGCGCAGACTTCAAAGCAGCTCTGGAAGCTGCGGAGGATGAAAACGATCAAGCCCTATTAAATAAATGGTACTTATGCAAGCAGATAGCTTCAAACTATTAATATTCACCAAAACACAGAAAGAGATCCCTCCCTATACGTCGACTTTTTAATCAAATTCATATCCCAGACCCTTACTTTCTTTATAACAAAAGAGTGGGAAAGGAAAGAGGTCTAAAATAAGGCTTCATGCACACTTGTCTTGTCTCTACAGCAATTAGAATAGACAATTATTTACCAGGTACAGTCTAGACATGGTGTGCACTCCGCCATGCTACAGGCTGGCGCGCGGTGCGCCTGCACGCTGGCGTCGCGAGATGGCGCGCACTCTGAGCGTACTCGTACGTACGTTGCCACAAGAAGCCTGTGATGCATACCTCACCACTGTTGTTGAACAGGTAACTACTCATGCATTCAAATTTGTAATTCAAAATACTGTTCATGGATCTATAGTAAATTGTCAAAATTCCAAATTTATCGGTTACTCACAATCATATTGGAACACCCTGTATACTTATCATATTTCATTATGTATGAATCATAAATTTCCATAAGATTACGAGTAAATAATATCGAAGTTTGAAATTTTATCGTATTTGAACACCTGTATCGTTAGGAGATGTTGTGTATAGGAGGTACAGCACTCAGTGCTGATGAGCGGGGAGGCGGCGCGGCGCTGCGTGTGGGTGTGCCGGGGGGGCGCGCCGCCGGAGCCCGAGCCGGAGGGCGCAGACCCCGCGCACCACGCCGAGCTGCAGCGCAGGCTTAACAATCTACAGAAAGAGCTAAAGGTGACATAACACCACTCAAATAAAACTAATTAATAATAAACCGCTTAAAACATAAGGAAAACCGACTAACATTTCAAATTGCAATTTCAAATATAGTTACTTATTTCAAATAGTATTCGTTATATATAACTAGCTGTCGCCCGCGATTCCGTCTCCGTGGTATTAAAAAAACTTAACTATTAGCCTTTGTGTTTTCCCAGACAATGTTTTATATTTATGCCAAATTGTCAAAACCCATACAGCCGTTTAAGAGATACTTTCAAACATCCATCCATCCAAACATTCGCATTTATAATGTTAGTAAGATTGTGATACGTTTACATTTTGACGGCCGTAACTCTAAACGACTTGACTAATATTAAAGTGTTTGATGTCATTTGATTCGTGGTATACCCAAGAATGGCTAAATATAAAATGTTACTTTGAAACAATAAACAATATTCTATTTTGTGTTACTATTCAGTGTCACCTGAGTGAACGTAACGTGATTCGTGCGAGTGTAAGAAGTCGCGTTGGTGGTGATGATGAGTGCGCGGAGCAGGTGCGCGCTGCGCTGGCTGACAGGCTGGGCGCGCTGCTTGACGTGCTGGTAGCTGACAATGAGCAGCCTGCAGGCAGCTGCGGTGTACCCACCAGGTCTGTATACTGCACACGTGACACCTGGTAGACGTTAAGCAAGCGTGTACCCTCTTTCAACCACCTTTGATAGGATAGGTCAAGCAATAATATTCAATATTTTAAAAAAGTTGTCAGTTCAGTGTAATATGACAAGTTTTTCTGGCCCGGTAAACAAATAAAAGTACAGTAATTCATTGTTTTTATATGCACGTAGACCCTAGCTCTGAGCCTACCCTAAGTTAAGGGTGACTAGGCCATAGTCAACCACGCTGGCCCAGTTAAGGTTGACTTCCCACATGTTCGTGTTGCGTCAATATTTTTTTTTCAGCTTAATAATTTAAATTGTTTATGTATTTCAGTTTATTTGATGAAATAAGCGAACATCTGACGTTCTGTCAGAAAGCAGCGCAGTGCACCTCCAACAGAGAAATCACGCTTAATGACCTTAAAACGTGAGTACTCTTTACCATAACGATTTACTACAAGCAAACCAAAGAATTAAAAGTAACTTTCAAATATGATATTAGCTAATTTTATTTTATTTCTATATCCCATCATTTTATCTTGTAACTTAAAAAAAAAAACTTAAACAATGAAAAACGCAACGGCCGCCATGTATTTCATTTGACATTTCTATGTTTTAAGATTGAAGAAACACACGAAACTATATCTGTCCTTTTCAGCTATGTGACAGGCGAGAGTTCTGTCCCGCTCGCACTACTGGGAGGCGCGGGGTGCGGGAAGGCGACACTGCTAGCTCGTGCTGCCTCGCTCGCACACACCTGGCTACCAGACCTCGCGCTCATAGTGCGGTAATGACGTCATTACTATACGAACAACATAACATGATATGCAACACTTACGTTGTGGGTATTTGTAAGTTTTTTAGTGTTAAAGTTTTTGTAATACCCACAGATTCGTAGGTCTGACGTCACAGTCCAGCAGTTCGCACCAGCTGCTCAAATCTATCGTGGACCAATGCCACGTGCTGCACACGGGCACTGTGTATAGAGGTAGAAATGTAAGTATTGGTTGTTGTTTAAAAATTTAAAATAAATAAATATATCGGACTGATAATATGTTCAATAGTACCATAAAAATCTTGTGGTAATTGTAAATTATCTATAATTATCATTTTAAATTTATCAGTCATTTTGACAGCGTCATATTTTGACCAATGAGAGAGCGGCAGTGTTTAGTGTTGCCATTTTCATAAATTTGTAATTCTATAAAAATATCACGCATGATGTTATGATATATGCAGGTAGTATATTAACCTTTTTGGATGTAACAATCTCACTAATATTATAAAGTAGGAATCACCCGCGACTCCATTCACGCGGAAATATAAAAAAGATTTAATTATTAGCCTATGTGTTCTTTCAGACTATGTTGTTGTATACCAAATTTCTACGATACGTTCAGCCATTCTGGAGATACCTTCAAACAAACATCCATCCAAACATTCGCATTTATAATTCTTACTTTATTACTAATATTACAAATGCCAATGGTTAGATGTATGGATGTTTGTTAGAAGGTATCTTCAGTACGGCAGAACGTATCGTAGAAATTTGGCATACATGTAGAACATAGTCTGAAAGAACATATATGCGACTTATTAAATCTTTTTGTAATTTCGCGCAGACGGAGTCGCGGGAGACAACTAGTTTAAAAAACAATCGGTTTACTTATGTGGGCTGGTTATGTGATGTCAGGAGGCAAGCGCACTGTCCAGTGCACTGGGCAGGCTGCTGTCAGCACTGGGTCGCACGCGGCCGGTGCTGCTGTGTGTGGCGGCGGCGGACGCGCTGCGCGGGGCGCGCTGGCTGCCGTCCAAACTGCCTGATAATGTCAAAATGCTGGTTACTGTCTCTGAAGGTAAGTCCAGTACGATCTAGTATGTATTAGCTGGATAGATGAAATGGAGAAAAATCATCAGGAACTCCAGAAGACTGGATCTGGGCGAGGTAGGGTTGGGGAAAGCAGAGACTTTTGTTGTTGGTAAAAGCTCACTTGGGATCACAGCATCACTCTAGTTACTTTATCTATTTTATCGTAGTAAAAAAATGTCAGAAATAATCTACATATCTTTATATATATAATTCTTCTGTGAGTGTATACATACGTCACTGAACTTCTCTCAAACGACTGGACCGATTTTGATGAAATTTTTTGTGTGTGTTCAAGGGGATCTGGAAATGGTTTAGATTCACAATTTTCATCAAATATTAACTTCATATTAATTTATTCAAATTAAAGACGTGTAGACAGGACAACGTCTGTCGGGTCCGCTAGTTAATATATAATATATATATGTTCGTTAGTCTCGCTAAAACTCAAGAACTGCTGAACGGATTTATCTTATCTTGGCCTTGAAATGTTCCTAGAGGTCTAGAGATGGTTTAAAAGGTAAGAGTCGCGGGCAAGTTTACAATAATTAGAACCGTCTAAGAATTAAGTACTTAGAATCTGTCTTTCTTTATCATAAACAGAAACGGATGAACCTTCATCATCAGCAATAATGGCTGTGCTATCATCTGAGGATGGTCCCAAAGTGGTGCGTGCTCCAGGAGTGTGCCTGGAGGAGGCGCAGGCGACGCTGATAGCGTGCGCGGCCGCGTACTGCCGCACTGGCGCCGCCGCACCACCTCCTGAGGCAATGGATGCACTGCGGCGGTGTACACTGCCGCTATATGCTAAGGTGAACATTAACCGCAGATTTCTAAACCAATACACATTGTTATGTCTGTATTTAAGGTTCCGTAGCTAGAAAGGAAAATACAGAACCCTTATCACTTTTTTGTCCGTCCGTCTGTCTGGCATGACCCTTTTTTAATAGAAAATTACTATATATTTGGAGTATTACAGGTTTAAAACTGATGGCAAAAATTAATGTCTGTAGTTCTACACATTATTAGTTAGAATCATTTAGCGTGAGTGACGTGCTTTCGTTACAAAGTGAAGTGTCAGAATGATGAATAGTGAGGTGACATAAATGTGGACAGTTTAGTAAGGCTAGTGTTACGCCAGTACACCGACACAGTGCCGGATTTTCTTCCTAACATAAGGAAGATAAGATTAAACGACAATGCGTCTTAAAGAAAGACTTTTCTGCAAGAAAGTTAAATCAACTTTTCCATTCTTCTTTTTGAAAAGGTGCGCCAACGCAAAAGAGATAAGGACGATATTACATTCTTGTCTTTTCATCTCTTTCTTTCTTTGCTAGATTATTTTATTTGTATCCAGATCCTAGCGTGGCAGATATCCCTATCCGCGGAGACATTCACTGAACAAACAGAGCCGGAGATAGAACCGGAGCTGGTGATATGCGAAGACCTGGAGAGTCAGCTGGTGCAGATCCTGGTTGCGACGGAGCAGGCGCTGGGGGAGGAACGAGTGCGCATCTGTCTCGCTCTGCTTACCGCGTCACGGCGCGGGCTTGATGATACAGAGATGCTGGATATGTTGGCACATGATGAACTGTTTAGAAGCGAGGAAACTTATTGTAAGTATAGAATCGTACGATATATACAATTATGTACCAAAATACGAACATCTTGAGTAGACCCTAGGGGGGACGAACTTTATTCAACCAGTGCGAGTTGATTTCACACATATCTTTGAATTTCTTCACAGATATGTGCAGCATCACAATGTTTTCCTTCACCGTAAATGTGGGTTATGATAACAAAGAAAATGAAAGTGATAAATATATTTCATTGCTTTAAAACGAAAGTTAAAAAGTCGGAAAAATGATATGAAATTTTAAACAAACATTAGCACATGATGGATTCGAACCTGGAGCAGTGAATAACAATTCCGGTACTTAATCACTGTGCTATCGAGATTCTTAAAGTCATAATAACGTCGTTTGCAGTACCATGGGCGCCGGCATCATTATTCTGGCCGCAGCTCGCCGCATTGCTCGCGCCATGGCTGCGCTGGGACGCGCGAGGTGCTGCACGCTGGAGGGACGCGGCACTTGCAGCAGCTGCATCTGAAAGATATCTAGCTCCAGCACCACATGTACCTAGACTAGCGTTGGTACAGTACTATGAGGTGAGGATACACACAAACACAAATAAACTTATCATCATCAGTTCACGTCCGTCCCGAAGGCTCGAAGCCTTCCCTAATTTAGGGGCGACTAGATTATAGTCAATGCTGCCCCAGTACGAGTTGACTTCACACATATCTTGGTACTTTTTCTCAGATATGTGCAAGTTGCATCACCATACCGCACCATCACCCAGGACCTGCAGATTACAAGTCAAGTGCTTAAACCACTGAGCCAACGACGCTCTATGATGGCAATAAAACACTCCACAGTCCTACACCATGTTGACCCATCAAACTTGTAGAGCAGAGAAAGACAACCAAAACCAATAATCGGTTCTTAAATTCAATCCAATTTTAATATAAGTTTGTACAAGTTAATTTTTAATTTCCCAGGGCATGTGGTACACGGAGAACGATCCTAAAATGGCCGGTCGTTTGATATCACAAGAAAACAAATTCTCTGAGGATTGGTATGTATATCATACTAATATTATAAATGCGAATGTTTTGATGGATGGATGTTTGTTTGAAAGTATCTTTAGAACACAACAGATCTTGATGAAATTTAGCACAGACGTAGAACATAGTCTGGACGAAGTCATAGGCTCATTTAGTTTTTTCTTTTAATTCGTCTCGGACAGAGTCGCGGGCCACAGCTAGTATAATATAAATCATAATAAAAATGTCAAAATATATTACAAGCCAAACAAAGAGTTCTAAAACTTCTCCATCTTTTTACTGCCATATTTCAGTTACAACACGAGAAAATTAGATGAACTTCCATTCCAACATTACCATCTTTTAAAAGACGATCCTGAATCCTTTTCAATAAAACCTTATTTTACAAAACTCGACTGGATTCATGACAAACTAGCAGCAACAGACTGCGGACTTTTCTTAGAAGATATAGCTTTAGTACACATCGATCCACTTCCAGAACATTTAGACGTATTAAAAGATGTCTTCGAAACTCACTCGTACGCACTAGATTATGACCATAGACAATTCTATGGTCTTCTAAGAACTACATTAGAGAAGAGAAAGAGAGAAGGAATAGAGATAGAGAGCGAAATAGTTGAACAATGGATGGCACAAGTTTGGGAACCACCTGTTCCTACTTTTTACCCTGTCAATGAAGATTTCTGGAAGGTGGTAGAGAATAGAGAAAGAAGAGATATGTCTATGGTCGATGGATTTGATAGTAAATCGTTTGATTTGATCGTGAGATTTGATACAAGAGGCAAATTTATAGCTACCATATCTACGGAAAGGGAAGAAATATGTGTTTGGGATGTTAGTCGGTAAGCTATTTTTATAGGTTAACTATCCTTTTCGATATTTAAAAAAAAAACAATATTTTGTCTTATATTTGAGATGTTAACCGCGGGTTTCTGACACCAAAATCTTTGTATATTGTCATCTTGTTATTATCTTTGATAAAACAGAAATAACAATCTTATTTTAACGGGGAATTTGGGCTCGGAAACCCACGATATATTATTTCACTAATCACAAATTAACTTTAGGTTATGTTATTTGTATAGTAAACTTATTTATAAAATATATTTTAAATGACCAACCGTGGGTTTATGAGACCTAAATCTCCATTTAAAACATCTCTTTCTTTCTTTTCTTTCATCTTTGTCAATATTTTGGTCTGAGAAACCAGCGGTAAATTGTTTGTTAATCTTCCAGGTGTAAACTGGTGAGAAAGTTGACTGGTGTGACTCATCCTATAAATCTAGTGCCGATAGACGAATACAGATGCGTGGTACTTTGCCGGAGAGAACTGAGAGTCTATGACCTGGATCAGGTAAGAGGTTTTTTTTATTGGACAAAAAAGCATCGCATTAAAAACACGCAAAAATTTTTGCCGTAAAATGCACAAAACAAACATATTTTTAGACAGTATTAGTTAGAATCATTTGGCGCGAATGAAGTGCTTTCGATACAAAGTCAAGTGTCAGAATGATTAGTGAGGGGACATAAGCGTTGACATTTTAGTAAGGCTTGTGCCAGTACACCGGCACACTGTCGGATTTTCTTCCTAACAATATATACAGTGGAATCAGGATAAACGACATTTTCTAGCTAATAGATGTTTCTTCCTATCCAGAGTACTAAATTATCCAATTCTCTTTTATCCTGGTTCGACTGTATTCCACTTCCTCTCCCTCTGATATTAATAAAATTATGAAGTTTTTTTTTATATCATAAGGTGGCAAACGTGCGAGCGGCCACCTGAAATCGCTGATATAGCGAAGTGACCGTTGCCCATAGACATACGCAATTGCGTATGCGTTGTCTACCTTTAATCGACGGAGGAGAGGATGCACAGAAAGAGAATATTTCTCCTTTCTATGTATCCTTTCATCCGGAAACTCCACTTTCCCTTTCCACCTTTGAAATAAATTTTTATTTAACTCTATAAGTATGTATAGCTTGATCAAGAATAAAAATACGTAGCCTGGCACCTAGTCATCACAACAATTTTATAATACGTAATTTCATTTTTTTCCGCAATATGGCGATGTTTTAAGGTTATGTTATGTCGTAGGGTAAGTTCGTGGTAACACTTAAAGGTGTGATGAACCAGAAGATGCCCTACTACGGGTTACACGATGCCTCTCATCTTGTTGCCCTCTCCAGGAACAGAATGTACGTCAACTTAATGAATATAGAAACAGGTCAGTATTGCTCCGCACTCGCGGAATAAAAAAAGAACTTAATTAGTAGCCTATGTGTTCTTCCAGACTATGTTCTTCAAATATGCCAAATTTTATAAAGACTCGTTGAGCCGTTCTGGAGATACCTTCTAACAAACATCATCCATCTCAACATTTGCATTTATAATATTAGTAAGATATTAAAGTTAGGTTAACCGGTGGGCATATGTCAAACTAAATAACGATTGCTCACTAGCGCCCTTCTGTCATTGTCAAAAAAGTGTCACAAGATCCTTTTAGTACTGTAGCTGTCATATTTTTTCTTTTATGGTATTTTGTATGTCTAAGTAGGTTTTATATATAAAGTGACAAATAATCGCGATAGTAGCGTCTCTCTCATTGGGTAATAAATGTTGTCAAATGTCTCATCGTTAAAATAGTAATCCAAATGTGCAGTGGAATTTTACGTTTACATCAAAAGAGGTAGAACATTTTTATCTATATTTATAGGTGATTGTGTGACGACATTCAAAGCTGGGGAGGACAGGTTTCTGAACTCTCTACTCGTGTCTGGCGATGGAAGGTAAGGATTACATTTAGCATTCAAATTTACGATTTCAATTGGAGTACTGTTCGCAAATTATTTGATTTCTTTTGATTAACCAAAATTGATACACATAAGATCCTACAACTGTTACCGTAAAAAGATGGACTGTAATAATGCAATGGCGTTAAGTGAAATGCGTATCCGATCTCTTTGGTGGACAATGAGTTTGCATTCTGCCAACGGTGGCATAATGGCCACTGAGACCTTTGCCTTTGTAACAGTGAAAAAAAGATCAGAAACGCGCGGGAACTGACTTAACAACACTAACTTCTATAAATGGATTGACTGGAGACGTAGTATTTTGTGCCTATTTGATTTCCGCCATTTTGGCGCTGATGGTAACGATTTGTAGCTGTGGTGTCGATTGGAACTAATAGTATAACTGTCAATTTACATCAACTAAAGCGTTTAAATCGGAACGAAAAAAATCTGTCAATTCCAAGCAATCACCCATCTAGTGATAGAGAGTCCATAGAGTTCAGTGATTAACAACAAGATGTCGTTAGTTAAAAGTTATGATGAAATAATTGTTTTGAATATATTTTTATCATAGTGTTTTAACAACGTAATAAACACATTTTGATTGTCGTGTTTTCAATGTATACAATTGTGTAATGGTGTAGGATCTTAGTGTGCGGCGACGAGACACAGAAGCCGTTCCCGTTGTTAGTGTGGTCGTTGACGTCTCGCAAATTACTCTACGACCTACGTATACCTCACCATGACTTCATCACCTCTAAAGCTGCCATCACTTACGAAGGTAAGGCTAATTAGTGCTACCATCTATTACGAAGGTAGATTGAATATGGCTGAAAATATGAAATGAACGAAATAAGTTTGGATGGATTGTGCGTAAGAATGCAGTGAATTCAAATATTACAGCTGATATTAATATACTAGCTGTCGCCTGCGACTTGGTCCGTGTGTTATTAAAAATAGATAGTAGCCGATTCTCAGGCCTAGTGAATATACATATAAAATTTAATAAGAATCTATCAAGCCGTTTCGGAGAAACATGGTAACTAACATTCAGACACGAGAATTTAATATATAAAATGGTTAGTACTGTGATGACTTTCCCTAGGGCAAAAGTATATGATGATAAAAAATTTAAATTATAGACAGGTAACAAACGATCTGTTTTTTTTTCATTAAATTATTTCTCATACAGGTTCGTACGTATGCGTGGTGTCGCGAGAGCTGGACGAGCCAACACCTAACTTCATAGTGGTATACGACCTGCAGTCTGGCACTCTGTTCAAGAAGTGGAAGCCAGGCTGCGACACCGCCGCCCTCGCCATCAGCTCTGTCGACGGATGCGTCGTCTCCGGACTTGAGGATACTAGGATACTGGTCTGGGACCTCGTCACTGGTAAGTTTCGTTAAGGTAAGAATTCGTTAAAATGTCAAATGTCAGATTGATTAGTGAGGGGACATGAGCGTGGACATTTTAGTAAGGCTAGTGTTGCGCCAGTACACCGGCATAGTGTCGGATTTTCTTCTTAAACAGTTCATATCTATGCCAAATTTCACCGAGATCCGTTAAGCTACATTCGTATTTATAATATTAGTAAGATATTCATTTTAAAATATATGTTGTGTAGGTAACTGCAGGCTGACATTACGCGGGCACGCAGCAGCACCATCAATGCTGCGTCTGTGTCGTGCTGGCGCAGTGCTGCTGTCAGCTGACCGCGCCGCCAGGGACCTCTCTGTCAGACTGTGGGACCTACATACTGGTATATTATAAAAACAGTACTAAAAACTACTCTTACAGGATGGGTCGGCTTATCAGGTGTAACACCACGACCACACAGAAGACACACCTCAGATGCAAACTCATTCCAACATCAGTGTGATGATTGTGGTGCCAAAAGCCTAATATTAATCATCTCCTTCCCATTCTTTTCGTTTTAACCCATTTGTCGGAGGAGGGGACGCATAGTAAGGGGAAATATTCTCTTTCTTTGCATCCCCTCCTTCACGATTAAAGGTAGGCAATGCATTTGCAATTATGAATGTCTATGAGCAGCAGTCGCTTCGCTATTTCAGCGAATTAGGGGGGTCATATAATAAAATCCTGCTCGAAGGATCAAACCTATTTAGAGATATTTTTACTTAATATTTGTAACCAACAGGTAAACTAATCGCAGTATACACACCACCTGAAAGTATAACTTCCTGCGAAGTACTCCTCGGTGGGTCTGTTCTCGCACTGGCCTTGGAGAACTACAAGGATATAGTCTGTGTCAAACTGCACGGGCCACTCGTAGAGTCTGTCAAGAATGGTAGAGATTGTGAATATGATGATAGGGGATATGGAAATGAGGAGTATGAAGGTCGGACCTTCGATGTCAGGGGTATGGAGAACTGCTGATGGAACAGGAGCCAAGATCATCTTTATTAAAAATGTATTAAAAATTGGCTAAACTTACGTATCATATTTTTTTTTATTTTATTAATTACAAATAATATAGTACCTTAAGCTTTTGTCAGCCGTCGATTAGTTTCAGAGCCATTCTTCAAGCGTATCTTTCAACCAAATAAGGGAACATACCCATACCACATGACCTATTTTAGTTATTTTAGTTTTTTCGACCCCTCCCACCCCTCGGTGACCACTTGTAGTACATGCCAAGATCCCCCCCTTTAGTTATTACGTAGTAATTCATAATTATGATTTTTAATCAATTCACAGGCAAAAATTGAAAAAGAAATTTGTCTCATACTCTTCATTATAGCATAAGACTGCATGCATACTTAAATTACTAGTGAATTATGTATTATGAAAAAAAAAACAACTAAAGACTACGTGACTAAAATTTGAGCCACCCCCCCCCCCCCGCTCCTGTGACTGACTGTAGTATTGTAAGGACTCCCCCCCCCCCCCCCCTAAACGGGTCACGTAGTATGGGTACGTTCCCTAACTTATAAAGTCGGAACTTAACACTTTGGTGGTATCTTGGTCTATAATTGTTATATAAAAAAGAGTGTTTACTAAACTGGATTCTACATTTATCCTAGAATCATTGTAAATACGTGAGTTTAGCTGTTTTTAAATAATTTTAATATGCAATTTCAACAATCTAACATCCACATACAGTCTATGGTTAAAATCTATAAAGTTATTAATACATCGAGTTTTAAAATTACAAGATGATTTTTTTTTGTTTTTTTTTTTATATCCAAAAATATGTAAGTTTTTTTATTGTATTTATTTATGTAATATCAAAAAACGATGTATTAATATTCTTAAATAAATATACAGACCAGAATCTTCTTGGCGATTAAGTAAATTTGATGATAATTTATGAACAAAAAAAAACAATCAATGTTTTTTGATCTATTACGCTTATTAATTACATTATAATAATTGTATTTAGTGAATTTCTCTACCTGTAATGTTGATGTTTATAGAATTAACAAGATTAAGTAATGTAAGAATATATTCATTTCAAAAATAATCATCATCATCATCAGCTATACGTCCCCACCGAGGGGCTCGGAGCCTACCCTAAGTTAAGGGTGATTAGGCCATAGTCAACCACGCTGGCCAAGTGCGGGTTGACTTCACACATATCTTTGAATTTCTTCGCAGATATGTGCAGCATCACGATGTTTTCCTTCACCGTAAGAACGTCGGATAAATGTACATATGTAAATCGGAAATCGAAAAACACATTGGTACATGACGGGATTCGAACCCAAGACCTGGAGATTGCAAGTGAAGTGCTTGACCCCTGAGGCACCGACGCTCAAAAATAATAAATTTCTTATTATTTCGTTTCATATTACCTATGCGTTTACAATATGACACTCGTGTGACGTCATTCGTCTTATGTTATCGTGCACGAGTTGTATTTGAATTATTTAAAAATTATTTTAATCATTATTTGATTATAAGTTTAAAAGCACTGGCTCTAACGAAGTGCTTTTGTCCATTAAAAAAAAACTTTGTCTATGGTTTTTTTTTTAATATGGAATCTAAGAAATACTTACCTATAGCATTTATAACTAATGATAATTACTGTCTTTCTCTTTTAAACGTAACAAAATTATTATGCACATAAATGAAATATTATAAATTATTTAAAATAATCCACTAATACTGGACATATATAGCCATCCCTTTCATTATCATTGAAATAACAAAAACAAAATGTACATCGGGATTTTGTATTGAATACCAAAGCTAATATAATTATAAGGTTTATTATGACGCTGGTTCGTCATAAGTCTGTGGTTACCAATAATCTATTTTATAAACATTTTAATCCTTTCAAATAAACTTTCTAAATGGCTTGGAACAAGTCTATTATGTAATACATTAATTTATTTATTTTAGATTTCTGTACCTTAATCTATACTTAAGGATTTTTTTAGTAATAATTAAATGTCCTTGAGTGTGGAAGTTAAACCAAAGACAACAAGAAATACTGAACAGTATTTTAATCATAAACAAGCGAGAAATCCTTCGAATCGTTTTTTTATTACCTGATTAAAATTATTTATTGATTTAAATAGATTTATTGGCCAAATTTTATTTGTCAATTTGTTTTTTTGTTAGATTCTAGGGCTTAATGCCCTTAAGTTGAACACATAACTGCCATATCCTATTTAAAATATATGTAATTTAATATATATCTAATTAATTGTTAAAATAATATATTTCTATCTTCTCTCTATTTCTCACTGCCTTTTTAACGTGTGATTTTCATGATATGTAAGTACATTTTTTTTCATACGCACACATCATTAAGAAAAATAAATATATTTTTATGCACAAAGTTTAGTTATTAGTTAGGTTTTTACAAATTGTGTCTATTTTATGTATAAAATATTTTTGTGAATATGTTCTTTTAATTTTTTTTTCAAAACTTGTTAAAATGAAGAATAATTTTATTTTTAGCAAACAATAAAATTAATTTTGCAAATGTGTCAAATCTACTAACCACGGTTTGCCATAATATTCATGCAAAAAACTTCGTCTTATTCTTAAAAAAAAAGTTTTTTTTATCAATGAACGTATCTATTAAAAAAAATATTTATAAAATTTGAAATGCTACATTTTCGCGCCATTCTGTACCACGTGACTTGTCATTAATATAGAATTTAAACTTCGATATGATTTTAATGAGTAAAAAGTTTTAAATTAAAAGACAAAATACCTGCCGGCAGTGATTTAAAAAAAAACTTTTATCTTATTAAAATATTCGATATATTAGTAAAGTTAACAGGCTGGTCCTTGATAATCATTTAATATTAAGTACTATTTATTACGTAGACATTTTTGAAAATCAATTAAATTGTGTAATTAAAATTAAAAATGTGTAATCCATTGAAATTGTAACGTGAGTTTCGTCTGTCATGATATTGTCATCCCTTTCATTCTCTTTGAAAGAACAGAGACAAAATGTGTCAAAAGTGTCAAAGCGGACGAAACTGATTGTTATAAATTAATTTGTGTATTCCGGCTGCCGTATAATTGATGTCCTGATTAAAATTATCTTAACTACGCTATCGTTTTATTTCAATCACCATTTAATTTTAATAAATTACCTATTTGTTTTAAGGCTTTGTCGACGTTCAGAAATTAAAAGAAAACTAGACTAGATACTCTATGCCTTAATCCAAAGTTGTTAAATTATTTAACACTTCTGTTAATTTTCTAAACTTTATACTCCAATATTCTTTTATTAAACCTCTTTTGTGACATTTCTAAACAAAATTAAAAACATATATCATTTGCAATAAATAAAATAAACAATGAAATCAGTAATTGATTTTTATTTTTTTAAATTACATTATTCACAGCAATTATAATATTAATACTACAGCAGAGTTGTTCAATAAATTAGCAGGATTGGAATAAACCTTTCTGGCGCATCTCTTCGAATTCCTTCTCCGCATCATATGTCCTGAAAATGGACATTTGGTTATTTCACTTTGCACACTGCTGTAACCAGTTCTTAAACATTAAAAGATAAACGGTTCTCTATCCGTGACATTCCAACAATAAAATCTGTATAAAACATATCGTCATCCCTGTCATTATCTTTGACTAAACCAAGATAACAATATAATTTAAACAAATATTTTGGTCTCAGAAACCCACTATTGGTACATGATATGATAAGTGGCAGTCATCTTTTGGTTATAAATGTGGTTCCTTGTTACAATACTGAATCTTTTGATGATTATTTAATCATGCTTTTACTGTGTTTGCTAATTCCTTACTTTAGTACACTAATTGGTCACTAAGAGAGGCCCTTAGCTTAGATTTAATGGGAGAAAAAGTTCCATTACTGACCAATAAGCTTTATAAAGACATGGATGAACAAGTACAAATTAACAATACATTTATAGTCTGTTCCTGAGAAAAAGGAGCAATAAAGTGATCCTATAAGGGTTCCATTTTTTTCTTTTGAGGTATAGCACACTAAAAATATGTATATCCAATTCTTTACCTGTAGAATTCAGCATACCGCCTCTTGCGTTCATTACCAACAAGCTGCTTGAAACTGAAGCCGGCCACACCTGCCAGTGCTAGGGCAACAATCAAGTTGCGCTTGATGACATTGTTGAGGAGCCCGCGCATCTGCGGCTTCGCCATGGTCGATACTGCCTTGTCTGCCATCTGTAGTACATAATGGTAACTATTTGAGATTGATATACATATTGACCCATGAGATGAAGAGTTACATCTTTTATATTAACTTTTAATATACATAGCTTTTTATCTCTGTGTTGGTATGTTAAAAATAAAGTTATGTCACATAATCTTACCAATTATAAATGAGGATGGATGGATATTTGTTTGAAGATATCTCCAGAATGGCTGTATGGATCTCGATGAAATTTGGCAGGGATTTAAATGTAGTTTAGAAGAAAACATAGGCTACTAATGATGTATTTTTTAATACCGCGCGACAGCTAGTAATATCATTTGTTTTAAATAAAGTCCTTATCTTCAATATACTTGAAACTGATAACACATCTTAACCCAAAAATTCCAAATTTGGAATCTTTGAAATATTGTTTTGTTTTTTAATAATCTCGAAAGAAAAATATACGTCACTTTTTAGGTCGTTTTCAATTGATTTTAATTAAAGCTAAATGCTTTAAATTTATATTTGTCGAAGTACCTCAAAATGTCTCATTAAAGTATGTAAGTTTTTTGACAATATTTGCAGAAACAGAAACAGCAAAATTGATATGACCAATTATTATAAACGTTATATTGAACAGTGTCTCAGAAAATAATGTAAATATAAAAAAAATATTTTATTTTCAAGTGGAGTTAACTTGGTCATATTGACAACCCATCTTACATAACATTTGGTTATTTTATAATTTAACTACTTAATGACCGATTATTATCATTACAGAAATACCTTAAGTGTAATAAAGAAATAACAGTACTTAACAAAGTAGAATACTTACAGTTTCGATTGGTTTTTCTAGTAAAACCTTGCACAAAAGTACGACCACACAGCAAGTAAAACAGTAAAGTTGTTTTCTATTACAGTGCTTCAAAAATGGCTTAACATTCGCCACTCGCGCATTACGTCACATTATGTCAAAAAGACCGCTCGCTATTGGTTCTTGAAAATTGATGACACATATCCACCAATGAAAACGCAGCAATTCACTCAATTGATGTAATCAACGAGAACAAAAATTACGCCTGTAATCGATTTTGCGTATAATGTTTCATAAATCGATAAAATATTACTAATTTTAGTAATAATAAAACATCCACGTGTTTCTAACCAGAACAATTTTATTTTACTCTACTCGATTCTTTTTTTTAATCAAAATAAAGCGATCTAAACGACGAATAACATTAACGAAAAGCAGAAACATCTATTAGAAAGTAACTTTGTATACAACTCTTGTCTTGACATAAATAATCAAAAACGGTGATTAACCTGCATTCTAAATAAATTGATCTCTCCTAACTCACTTCTCATCCTATTCTGAATAATATTTTATCTAGTTAATGAAAAGACGACCGGAATACGAGAAGATACCCTCTTTTCTCTTTTTTATGGGGAGTATATAACCAAAGGAGCATCTGATATATGAAACTAAAATTATAAATACTAAGGGAGTGATACAAAACGTGGATAAGGTACAAACTCTCAGGTGGAATAATACGAGACATTTTTTTTATTCATTTATTAATAAACTAACTTTACAAATTTAATAATAGCAGAACAATAATAATCCTTATTTCTTTTCATTCATAATAATATGATAATAATTCACCATGACTCATCGTAATTTATGAATATAATTATATGATTTTAAAAATAATGTAGAACGACAGATAAAGCAACTTACAGAAAATAATGCACAATAAAAATGGGATGGTAGATGAACTTTCAATATTCACCAACAACATTTTCACAGTCGTTCGCGTATGAAGCCCTCAATAGGGCCCCGCCTTCCCGATTAAAACTCTACTAGAAAAAAATATTACAATAACATAAAGTTAATTTTTTATTGTATCAATTCTTTTATTTACTATTTCTCCGTCTCTATGTACAATTTATATCATGTTTACATACCAAAACTATATGCTATCTGTGTTGTGTAACCCCTATATACTATATTTATAGTGTTTTTAAATCTATTTGTATTTTCTCTTTTATCATAATTATGTATAATTGTATATAATAGATAATTCATCGGCATAAATTACTATCAATTAGTCGAAAATTAAAAACAAAACAATAATCTAAAAAAAAAATGATTACTATACACCCAATATACAGAGCTAGTTTTGAGAGTCCATTTATTAATATTATATGGTACACGCAGTTCATTTTATAGTACAAGGCTTTGTATTCCTATACGGAGGGGTCGGTTTGCGGCAACTGCCACTGGCGCTAGTCTCGCCAATACGTATTTACAAGGTAAAAATCACCGACAACACCCCCATTAAAATACATCCAAAAAAAAAAGAAAAAAATCTTAACACATAACATATATTAAATTTCCCCATCTATACATAAAAATTTACAAGAGATTGTACATCGGACGTACCGATTATTCTCTTAAACTAATAATTTAAAACGATTAAAAAAAACAAGGCTTTATTTTTTTTCTCTGTCACGCAGTTCGATTGTCTCTGGTTACACCGCCCGACGCCGGCGGCTGGCCGTCGCTCCCCTAGTACAATACTATAATATAATTTAACAACAAACACAGTAAGACCCACAGCTCCCACGGCACATGTTATAGGGCACTAATTTCAGGCAATGTAATTTATTATAAAATATTCTTTATATACTATATCATTACTACGTACATACTAAACACATTATGTATCACTGTTCCACCCTAACGGATTATCTGAAGTAGGAAGTTTAGGAAATCTGACATAAGAAAGGTATAAAGTAGATAGATAACTGCGAAATTCCAAAACCCAAACACTTCTATTAAACCTATTGTCTCTGATTTTTTCAAAGAGAATAACAAATGACAATCTTTAATAATAAAGTGTTTAGTCAATGGAAACTCACCGTTAGGATGTAGGTAAGGGTGATGAGCGTTCTTAAGGCAATCGTTACTATAAACCATTTCGTATAAAAGTAATTAAAGAGTCACATCCACGTATTATTGCTTTGGATCTTATCCTCTCAGACATTAGGAACCGCAAAAAAACACATGCAAAAATATATCTATGATGCTCACCGCTTATACACACGTAATATACTATGAACACGTACGAATTTTTTTTATTATTCAGCGAAACAAACTTTGCAAGGTTCAATTTTGATACATCCAATTAATCTATCGCAATACGCGAACCAATAAGTACCCTAGTGATGAACATGACACACACATGATTCCATAAGAATCGAAAAATATATTTAGTCTATGCTTTACTATAAGTGACTGTATATCAAAATATTGTGGTAATAAATACTAGCAACTACAAATAAAGAAAACGAATGCATTTTTCTTTTTAAAATCCAATCAAATATGTACAGTGCAAAATAAATGCTGGCTTATTTACTACAATCACTGGGGTTTAAATGATTCAATGGATTCCAAACGATTTTACAAACATTTAAAAAGGTCAACAATAGGGTAGATTTAATAAAAAAATACGAGAATCGATAAATTAAAAAAAAATGGGGCGTCAAAGCAAAAAGTTTAGTATACTGGAAGCCCAAACAGATGATCTGTTGAAACACTCAGTCACGATTATTATCATTTCACTAAGAAATCATTCAAGTTTCGTGTCATATTACAATTACAATTATTGGTCGTGAATTCCTTAAATATAAAAACACTAATGTTACATCGTAATAGCGGCGAATGCGTCACACGACAAGCCGCCATCTTGGAACGAACGTCACTTTTTTTTTCAAATTTCGAATCAATAAATATAAGAAACATTAACGTATCCAAGATGGCGAACTGTCGTAAACACGAATAAACTACACGCGGTTCACATCACCGATCACGAAATTACAAGTTACGTGCAAAAACGTATGAAAATATCTTTTAAAACTTTATGCATTTATTTTTATATATCTCGGGTATTTAACCTATTATAACAATGTGCCTACAGTCCAGTGCTCTTTTGTACAATAATGATTGATTTCTTCCTAGTCACTATACTAAGGCTCCCACGGTCGACCCAAGCTCATCCAATCAATACAGCCCGATGGTGGTACAAAAAATACGTCGACATCCTTAAAAATACTCAATAGAGGAAAATAACTTACATATAAATGAAAACGACAAGTGCTCTATAGTGAAATGGTAACATTTGTTCACTAGTTAAAATAATATAAGCGGTTCAAGTCCTTGTGATGTCAGGAACGGGGCAACTGTTGACACTTTGTACCATCGACTGTCGTCCATCTCTCCCCCGCACTTACTACACGAAGCCACAACACCGAACTTTCACTGTCACATCTCTCACATTTATATTGCACAAATCTATCCAAATCGTTGAGATTCATTAAATCCAAAAGCCAAAAGATTAATTTTTTTTAGATACACACCACTTATAAAAATTTGACACACACATTAATTTTGATTAATTTCACTTTGACAGTTCGTGGATGATAGAGGCAATAGTTTTTATTTTAAGTCGGTGAGATGTCAACAGTTGTAAACGAGGCACGGGCGGTGGGGGCGGTGTCAGTCGAGCGGTAGCGGGTACAGGAGCGCGAGCGGCAGCGGGAGCGGGGCTTGCGGCGGCGCGGGGCGGGGCTCCGCGCGCCGCCGACGTCACTTCCCGTCGCGAGAGGCCCGTCGACGCCTCACCGCGCCCGCAGTCGCGCTCGGACTTTCACCAACTGAAAATATCCAAAAAATATTGTATATTTTCTACTCAGGGTAAATAAACGTCGTACTATGCTACGATACGTTCACTAATAAAAGATCATTTGGTTTTCTTCATGTCACAATTTACATTGTTGCTTCACGTTATAATGCCTTCTTTACACATTGGATAATACACAGATACACATCATCATAAATGATATAACTCACCTGCACTCCTCGTTTTCCGTCGCAGGGCGGTGTTGTTGGGCGGCGCGGCAGGCGTGGCTGGCGCAGGCGTGACGGGCGTTGGGGGCGCGGGGCCGTGGCGCACAGAGCGCCTCGTACCCACACCCTCAGCAGTCTTCACCACCTTTACGCCCACAGGTTTTAGGCCTTTCCCCGTTTTCCCCCTCACTTTACATATTAAAGGTTCATCACTATCACTGTCCGATTCCTTCTTCAGTTTGCCACAAGCTGCGACCGCCGCATTGATAGGCTTCTGGTCCAGTCTTCTCGGCTTTTTCTTCGGCCTCCCCGCCGGAGACAAGCCCTCCTCGCAGCTAATGGTGGACGCGCACGAACTTTCAGATTCCCTTCTCTTTCTCTTCACGCCGGGCGGAGGTTTTGCCGGCGCTGGTACAGAGTTAACGGTTCGCGGGCTCACTTTATCTACGGACCCACTACGAAGGCAATTCCTAGGCTGTAACGCGGGTGAATCGGATCTGTCTGCCTTGTTGAGTCCAGGACTCAATCTCGGCGTCTTCGGGCCATCGGCCGGGCTGTTCATCTTACTGCTCGATCTAGTCCGGACCGTGCTCCGGGCGACACGTTCCAACGCTGAAGGTGATGGAGATTCCGGTCTCTTGTTGCCGTAGTCCGGAGTAGGAATTTCTATCAGCAACTGCTCTAGTAAACTCTTATCTGGAAAGTCGGCTTTCAGAGGTAACCTTTCTAACTTGGAATCTTTCTCTTTCGAGGAATCGGTACACGTTTCGCCATTCTCTGACAAAATTTTCTCATCTTTCGCATCGTTCGCACAAACTTTCTCCTGGTTGGAATACGTATAAAGAGGTGGCGACATTCTGCTCGGTAGATGGTCAAAGTCCTCTAAACCTTTCTCCTTTTTAGTCGATATACACTCGTCTTTACTGCACGTTTCGTTATTTTGAGCAATATTGCATTCGAGTTTCACATCATCCACCTTCATTTCCAATTTCTCGTCTTTGCTATCGACCCTCTCGTTGTTCTGGCCCTGTTTCTCGTCATCCCTGAGAATCGGCGTGGGCTCCCTCTTCACCTCTTTGGTCTGTGATAGATCATCGGGCGGCCTCCTTACCGCGTCGTCGCCGTTGATGTGGTCCGCGTGCATTTTCGCCAACTCTGCTTCGATGTCGCCCAAATCATCGATGTCGGGAGGTCCGGGGTCGTAGTGCGGTTGGCCCGTGGCTAATGATAACCTCTCCAGCAGTTCGTCAGAAGCAGGCGGTGGGTCTATGACGCCTATTATCCTCTGAACCGACGTTGGACTGGTAGAGCGAGGCATATCGAGGCGCTCTTTCCTCTGTGGCCCCGGCGGGGATTGGCTGGCCTGGTTGGGCGACTTTTCCGAGAGGGCGTCCATGGATTCGATTCCAGAGTCCTCCCCCTGCGCCTGTGAGTTGGGCGAGCGGTTGCCGAACTTGTCTGCGTCGGGTCGTGCGGCTCGCTCGGCGACCAGTTTGCAGTAGGACTTGTCCTTGGGCCTCTCTTTCCTGCGCGGCGAGACCGCCCCGGGGCGCTGACTAGAGGCGGGTGGGGGCGACTCCACCCGACCGCCCCTGATCGTGCCTACGTTTGTGGATCCAGGGGGATCTGGAATACCAGTAAGCAAACTATCAAAATCTAATCTAATCCCTCGTTCTAACGGGACAAGGTATTTTAGTACGGGTATTCGCGCACCTTCCATTATGTATTTTTGTTCGCCAATCGTGTAAGTAATTTTTTTTAATTTTGTACTGTATTAAACTACATGATAGTTTCCCAGAAACCCAGCCAATTATTATGCGATGCTGTAACAAACAGATAATTTGCCAAACAAACAAGGTATATTTTTGTTACAATTTGGAAATGATTTTATGTTCTCTTATAAATTATAATATAATTGGCAAAAAATACATTCTTTGATAGAGTTAAATACTTTATTTGATTGTATTATTAAAATTAGATACTTAAAATTATTGACAATGTATAAATGAGCAAGAAAAATCAATTTGAGAAATGTACCGCTGCATATAAATTAAAATATTTGAATGATAAGTTACGAAAGAAAAAAAAATTGAATAATACTTTTGACAAATTTAAATACCTTTTCTCATATTGATACCGTTGGACAAAATTAAATGGATAAGAAAAAAATAAAACAAAACAGTTGTCACAAATTTTAACCAAAAATCTTTTAATATAGTAACTTTCATTCATTCGAAACTTTAATTCAGCAAACATAAAAATCTATATTTATATTTTATTATAAAAATATACAAAATTGCTAATAATCGAGTTAAATCTTACTTTATAAAATAATTCTATCATAAAAAACATATCTTTAACATACTGTTTTACAATATACCTAAAATCTATCTATCTAATTGAACTAATAATCATTTAATTTTGTCTGATTATATACATATTATGTGAAATTAATTATTTTAAGATAAACACAAAATATCCATCCAAAATGTCATGTTTATAAAAATAAATTTACGTAAATAGACATAAATATTCAATTGGACAGAGCAAAGTGGAAGAGACGGATTGATAAATCTGACCCCACCACCTTGTGGGATGCAATTTTTTTTTGTGACTGATTGCCACTGTTTGCCTTGAGGAGGCATTTACAGCTTCACCGGGCTTGAGGTGGCCGAGCGCAGATGGCACTTAGCCTAAACCTCGTTAAGTGTGTGGGATGCAAGCTAGGCAGAGAGAGAGAGAGAGAGGTACAAAAATTCTCATTTTGTGTAAATAATATTTTGTGTTTATCTTATATACACTTTACAATCAAAGCTTCAACATGTACATACCTGGACAGGAACTATGGCTAGTCTTCCGTTTCTTTTCAGAAGATATCAGTCCGTTGGGTGAGGTAATAGCACTGTCAGTAAGTGTCCGTTTTAATTTATTATCATCACTGGCCCTGTGCGTTTCGAACTTTTTACTGTCCGTCAGTTCGTCAGCACTTAGCGTCCGTTCTAAACTCTTGTGACACTTAACCCTGTCCACATCACTAGCACCACATTTTACACTTTCATTAAAACCGTCCAATTGTAAAGTTTTAACATCACTGGACTTATCACATTTTGCACTACCTTCTTTCTCTTGTTTTGGAGTTGGTAACTTCTTTTTCACTTCATGGTTGTTAGGAGTCTCTCTGTAACCCTCGTTCTGAGCATATTTGCCTTCCTTTTCTAATAAATCGTTCCTACAATCTTTGTCTCTTTCTTTCTCAATCACTTTACCACTGTCGCCTAAGAATTTTGATTTCTTTTTCATTTTCAAACTGTCTAATTGTGTTTTATTGTTGAGTAGTTTGCAATCGTGTTTGGTGACAATGTGAGCATTCTTTGATATTGTCTTCATTCTGTAGACTACATTCATGTCACCCGGTATTGATGTGATGGTTTCACTTTCAGAATAATGGTTGTTGAGTTTTGTATTCTTGTTGTGTATATACTCATCAGTCTTTGTATTCTCAGTGCTGTCACCAGATTTTGTAGCGAGTAACTCATCAGAGTCCCGCCTGTGAGACTTCTCATCTGATTCTATAGATTTTCTAATTTTAATTTTCTTCATATGTATGTCTCCTGGGTTAAATTTTTTCTTCTCCTTCTTGGAGTTTTTAATAACAGCTGAATTACGACCTCTAAGACTTATATGTAACGGTGGCACTCTCAATTCACCCTCTGTAGGTTTAGTAAGAGCTTCCTTCTGGGATTGCAAGTTAACAAAGCTGATATCGGCCTGGTACACAGGTTGAACAACTGGTTCATTCTTATCTTTTAACTTTAACCGTAGTTTTAACGAAAAGGAATCAACCTTCTCGCCCGTCGGTGACTTTGGTGCGTCGCTAACGGGCGCCGGTTTTGCGGCATGAGGCCGCGGTAAGGCAACTTTGGTAGACTTTCCATCTCGCACTATTTTCTCTTTCAACGTAGCCGGTTTCTCTTTCGCCCCCCCTGTTCTTGGCTTTCCTCCTTTTTGCGCCAGCAGTTTATCATCTTTGTCTTTCTTTATTACTTTATTTTTCGTTTTCAATTCATCCTCTTTTTTACTATCATCTTCTGTGATTTTCGCTATTCCAAAAACCTCTGGTGAATCCAATGAATTTTCTTTAAGTTTGCATTGAGCGACTGTTAGTTCTTCGACCTTCTTTTCCTGTTCTTTCGGTGGTGGAACATCATCATCCCTCATTAGAGTTTTGATGAGATACTGTTTGCTCTGTTCTTCTATTTCTTGAGCGGTTGCTTGTGATCCAACAGTCGCTGTGGCCACTGAAGACGTCGCTCTTACTGGCAGTCTCATTGGAGGAGGCATAGAAGACTGGCTTGCATTGATTCTTTCATTATTTAAATTATTCGGAGACATAGAGTAAGTGGCATTTGGTGGAGATTTAAAAGGCGGGTTTGGACTCGCCACTGCATGGTTGGGGGATGAATTGTGATGAGGGCTTGAAAACTTGGACGTCGACTGCTGGGGAACAGGCGGGGGTGGCATGAAACTCGATTCATTAGTATTTTCAAAATTATCCGAAACTTTCGAAGGCACATCATTAACTGTATGGCTTGTACTGGGCAGTAACTCGGAGTTGTATGGTCCGTTTAGACTTGTACTCGTGTATTGACCACCGGTGATCTCTTGGAGCAGCGCGTCCGGGTTCGAATCGGTCGCGTTTGGCAAACCATCCTGTTGTTGAGGATCGTATAATAAATCCAGCTTGGTATTGGCGTCCAGATCAGAGATGGCCGACAGAGCAGTGTCGTCTAGGTTGAGATCCGCTCCAAGGGAAGGTAGTAGTTGGTCCAGGTCGCAATTGTCGGGCAGATCGGGTATAGAGAGTCCCAGCGTGTCCCGATAAGGCTCATTCCAGTCAGGCTGTGACGCCGCCCTGGAGGCCGCGCGCTGCCTCGCGTTGTACTGCTGCTGATACCTCTGAAATTCCTGTAGCAAAAATTATAAAATATATTAGACATTTATTATAACGTTTTAATATTGTGTCTAGTATTTAAAATAGTACGAACCTGGAAGCTAGACTGCGTTTTCTGGTCCATAGAGGTGGTAGGCGGTGGTAACAACGCTTGTAGATCTTCCGGCGTGACCCTCGTGGGAGGCGGCGGTCTCGGCCTCTGCACAACCGCCACTTGGACCCCTTGCCTATACGGCGGCGGAGCAGGAAATGGTTCCGCGGTATAGTTTGTGGGGAACCGGGCGCGACCCACCACGGTCGCATTTGGCGCCGGACTACGGTACACCGGGGAGGGATGGTGTGAGGGACGAGGGGGGAAAGAGCGTCGGATAAAGGAGGGACGGAGGGGTGCCCGGGGCGGCGGAGGTGGTGGCGGGGCGGGGCTCGGCAGCGAGGGCTGCGGGGGAGGCGTGGTCTGCGGCCGCGGGACTGTGGGCCGCACGCCGCGGTACTCGAACGGCGGTCGACCCACTGCCAGCTCCACCTGATGGTTGAATTTATTTTAAAATTTGTAGGTTTCATCCTTATTAAACATCCTCAGAATGAGAATATATCAATGAGTAATTATCCAGAATATAATAATTCACAACTGTATTTTACCTGTGAGTCTTCAAGACGATCCAGTTTGGCCGGGTGTGGCACAGGCTTTGTTCTTGGCTGCGGCGCAGGCGCATCATTTTGCAGCAGATTAACTAGTAGGGGGGAGGACATGGCCACAGTGGGGGGCGCGGAGGCAGCCGCGCTCGGTGTGGTGGGTGGAGCGGGCGTGGCGGGGGAGGCGGGCTGCGCCACCGGCGTAGGGGAGGGTGCGGGGTAGGGTGGTGGGGGACCGGGGAAGGCGGACGTTGAAGGGCGCGGGAACTGCTCCGCGCCCGCAAGCGCCGCCGCTGGACGGACACCGGGACCACTTATACCTGTGAATCAAGAAATATAATTATAGAAGGCCATAAAGAAAGAATTATAGCTTTAGATGCTCTATAAAAACTTTTTCGACAACCAAAAACTAATACGAAACTTTCTCGTATTGGTTTTCAGCAATCAAGCATACTTATATGCTTGATTGCTGAAAACTAGTTCCGAGCCTACATAGAGCCATCTGGCTGATAGAATATTTTGCTGTACATATAAATGGCTCACCTAAGGTATTCTCCTTCCGATGTATGACCCTGGCCTGGGTCATGCTGCCGAAGGGGAACTCGCAGCGATCGGTGGTCGGCGTGGGAATGTTCTGCGGTATCTTGCCGTCCATCGGGCAGACGGTATTAGGCGACTTGAAGTTGTCCCGGGGGGTGGAGGCCGAGGAGGAGGGGGTCTCCGATGATGACGAGCCCTCCCCCTCCCCGAGCAGTCGCCCGATGCCCCCCAGACCCGCCAGCAACTCAGAGTTGGCTTGCCTTGATGAGTTGCCTTCTGTAATTAAGGAACAATTTTTTTTTTATTAAAAGTAATCGTAATTTATCGTTGTAAAAGAAAGTAATTGTTTAATATTCCTCACCATCGGTGTTATCGGTGTTGATCCTGAGCTCAGCGCCGTGCTGCAACCGCAGCGAGACCGCAGCGTCGCCGTCCAGCTGCACGGATAGTATGCCGAGCGCACGCAGCTGCGGCGCGCCGGCCGCCGCGAGCGCTCGCAACCGCGCCGCAGCCGCACGAGGCACCGACAGCGTCACGCGCACAGAGTTCCAAGGTTCCACCTGGAATAATTATAACAACGTATCAGCTGTATGGGAAACTAACAGAAGTAGAATTGTAAAAAAATAGTTACATAATAATGTAGTAATGATAAAAAATTGTAAAAAAAAAAGATTTTAACAACTTCAAATTGTATTTTTTAGAATAGAAACTTTTATTTTAATAAAAAATATATGACGTAATCACTACAGGCACGGATTCATGAACATTTTTATTTGAAAATCATTTAATGATAAAACAAAATACGTAGAATAACAAATGTGTCTTAATATTACGTGCAGTCTTTGGAAATGTTTGACTTGTTCCTTAGATTTTGTAGAAACATGTCGGGAGATGTCATCATCATCCATCCATCACTAACGTAGAAATAGCACACAAACATGCCAGAAAATATACAAAGACAATCCAGACAGTCCATCTCAGTTTTTTTTTTCAAAGAGAAAGAGAGGGATAGAATAATATATATAGATATTTCGGCAGTGGAAAACAACGGTAATGTAAAACATTTTTTTACGTACAAAAAAAATGAATAATTTATGAAACGTGTAAATGTAAAATGAGAATAAATCGAAAAGGAAAAATAATGCGTAATTTCACCTTCCTTCCCGTCAGTATAGTGAACTTTTGACCTTCCCTCGTAAGTAGACGGTTTTTTGTGATGTTTTGTTTTGTGAATTGAGTTTGCTTATATTTGTAAAGTTTAACATCACCCTCACGACCGTAAACTTTATTGTGGTGTCAGTGTCATAAAAAATATGTTTAAAAATATTAGCAACATTATATATATACAAAAATCAAGTGCTGTTCGTTAGTCTCACTAAAACTCGAGAACGGCTAAACGGATTTATCTTTCCTAAATCTTGAAATGTTGGGTTGAAATTTGGGGAAAGTTTAAAGTGTGAGAAAAATTCGGATAATTGCCGGGAAAACCTTTTAGGGACTTTTTTTTAAATCCGCGCGAACGGAGTCGCGTGCGACAACTAGTGTAGTAAAAAAATATATTTAAGAGGATAAATTATAAAATAATATATATAATAAAGCGTGATATGGCAAAATAGACATTTCCTTTTTGATAAATTAAATCCCGAGGTCAATAACATCACAATTACGAAATAATTTTTTTTAACAAAAATTTACCAACATTATGTTAGTTTCAACATTCCCAAATATTAATTCTAACTCAGCCAATGCCTTAGTTATAAAAAAATAGGGTTGTTAACTTTCAATGAACCAAATATCAAAGACGACATTGGTGGCAACCCTTGCGGCCTTGCAAAGAAGATATTAAAAGCCGATGTATTTATCCGGCCCACCTAGAGACAGCCCTAAACTAAACGCAGGCATGATACTACTTCTAGAAGATTCTAGATTTTTTGAAGGAGGACAAACGAACAGCGGGAACACCGAAGTGTTCATCGACGCCCATAGACATCAACATCAGAGGAATTACAGATGCGTTGCAGACCTTAAATCGGAACTTTTTAATACCATCGGAAGTTGCATAGCTACAGTACTAACACCGCACATTAGCTGCAGTGAATTAAATCCGTGACTGTAACCAAAGTTAATTGCAATAACCGTGACGTCAATCGCTACGTCATAAAATTAAAAGTATATCGTAACATTTTTCAATATATATAAAAACATAAAAAAAATAAAGGCGCGGAAAAATAAGAAAGAATACAGATAAACAGAGAGTTCGTAACAAATAAATATCTTCATAAAAGAAGTACGAGGGATTTTCCAATACGAGTAAACATTGTCTATTATTTTAAATGTCTAATAACTCAGTCTACAACATCTTTATAGCATAGCCACAACATAACCTGTAACAAATTTAGCCTATTCAGACAAATACTAAAATTCACAGTGTCAAATGCACCCGCAATTGACTATATGTATGCTATCCCTTTCTGTTATACGTGTACTGTCTATAATGTATATTTGCTATCTCTTCCTTTATGCATCTATCTCACCTTATTAACTTTTAGCGTGTGCGGATGCGGCTCGGCGAGCAGCGCGCGCAGCTCTCGCAGCAGGCGGCGCAGGCGCGCGGGGAAGCGCGGGTCGCGTAGGTCTCCCTCACAGGTGACCACAACGCCGCACGAGCCCCCGCCCCCGCCCCCACCCGCCGAGCCTAGCCCATCGCTGTCCGCTGCCATGCTGCACAAACAATAAAAATAATATATTAATTGTAAATAAAAAAACCTGACTGACTGTATTAGACTCCATAGAAGAATATGAATCGAATGACACCTAACTCGTCAAAATCGATTCAGTCTGTCAAAGTCAGTTCACTCTTATGAGTCAGTAGGATAATTCCTCATCCATCAACAACCGAAAATGTTACCGTAAATTTCAACCATCTTAGCATAAGACAATTATTATGTCTGATTTTTAAAAAGAATAATGGAAATATTATTACAGAGTAGGTCTTATGTGGAAATTCACCATTATATATAAGGAAACTAAAAGTTAGAAAATTATATTGCTAGCAAAACCCTACATACTCTATAGACTTAAGTTACACCCACACTGATAAGCTACCTTGCAGTCAGCCAAGAAGAACAGTCCAACTATATCAAAGATTATCCGGAACAAATGTGAATTTGCAAAGAAATTTTTTAGAAATTAGTTTTTCGTTATAAGCAACAACAACAACAGTTCCATCATGATAACAAAAGATCTACTTTAGATATTGAATATAGGCATTACATTTTTAGATGTATATCTATAGGGGGTTAGAAAAATCATACATAAATATAAAACATAGTGCTTTTCATTTGATTAGAAAAGTAATGGCATGATCAAACCATAATTAGTATATAGCTATCAATATAAAATTATTATGTGACTAATGGGCGACATACTTTCTGCCATTGCGCCATTAAAATATTGTATATCAATATTAAATTGCTAGGTAACTGTATGTTTATTTTTAACAAATGAAAAGTACCCAATAAACTTGTCTTCGGGATAAACAAAACAGTAACATTAATATTGATATCTCTTAAATGTTACAAGTTTTATGTTTCAAACACGCTAACCATGGGTTTCTGAGACCAAAATCATTATTAAAACACATTGTCATTGTGGTTTTGTTAAAGATAATAACAGTGATGAGGATATGTTTCATACAAAGATCTTGACCTTATAAACCGACCATTATTAATATTGGAATGGTCAATTTCATCAGTTTCAAATACCTAGGCCATGTAGACCAGTCACTAGTATTTATATAAAAAAATCAATGTTTGTATATTTATTAATCTTTGATAAAAAAATCTTTGGTAGGATCAGAGAAGGTGTCCAGTGATTTTGTCCTAAAATCTAAAACGAAAACCTGGTACGTTGTTTCTATATGAATGAGATAAGGGCAGGAAGATAATTTTTTTTTTGCACAACTTAGCTACGGAAACAAATAATTGAAGGTTTAATAACTACTAATTTTGATAAGAATAGTATTTAACACTAATATTATAAATAGAAAATGTATTTTTTGTAACGAATACTCAAAATATGGATCAATTTCAAAAATACTTTTGCAAACAGAACCTACTACATTACCAAAGAGTAACATACACATTGTTAACTTTTTTTAATTCAGAGCAGACGAAGTCGCGGTCGACAGCTAGTAAATGGATAATTTTTCATCATATACAAAAAGCTAGTTGTTAATAATTCGTATTGCATTAAAAAATGTTATTAATAATATTTAAACCTATACTAATTATATTATAAACAATGGAAACAACCAAAAAATGGCGCCATCTTTATAAAAAATAAAATTAACATTTAATATTGTTATACAAACATATCAAGCTCCAACGTAACATTATAGATTAGTCACCTTTTCTAATTTTAGATCCATTATTTCCATGTACTTTATGTAATATTATTAGAAAATTATTCATAACATGTATATAACATACTTCTGTTATAAAACTCATGTATACAATAAGCTTTAAAAAATTGCAACTATTAAAGACACAGTAACTTGTCTTTCCATAACCATAAACATAGTTGGGTGGTCAGAATTAACAAAGTTCTGCACGAAAATTTACTTCTTCAACATCAAAAGTATATAAAAAAGAGATGCCAACATTCAGCCATTATTAGATAGCTATTTCTCAAACTTCTTATTGCAAACTTTGTATTTTATACTGTCAACACACTAAAAATCTGAAGTAATACTTTAAAGCAGTGGTTCCCAAAGTGGTCCAGTTTGATCGGGTGGTGGTCTACTATTGCAGCAAAACAAGGAAAAGTTTTCCTTCACCGTAAGAACATCAGATAAATGTACATATGTAAATCGGAATTCGAAAAACAACACATTGGTACATGGCGGGATGGCGGGATTTGAACCCAGGACCTGCAGATTGCAAGTCAAGTGCTTGACCCCTGAGCCACCGATGCTCACACAGTTTATATATCACAAATGCAATAAAAACACTCATTGTCCTCATACATTTCAGAGTACTATATATTCCATTCAATGTTTACTACAAGATTGTGTCTATCAATGGGTGTTATTTAACCTTAACCTCATAGTTTGTCTGTGTCTAGAAAGTTTTGAAAACAATAACAGTGAGTCTTCACTGTTGTAGACTCTGTATTACAATTATATTTGCTATCTCTTTCATTCCTTTTGTAAAAAAACAGAGATAGATGTAGTGCTCTTATACATATGAAATTCATGGTTAGTAAATCCACAGTCAACTTTTAACTAATAAATGCAATAATTTGGATAGATGTCTAGATTACTTAAGAAACAATGAAAGGGTTTGGATATAATTTAGACCAGAGGTAAAGTACAGTATAGAATAAAAAATCCAAAAGTGGACTAGCCGGACCCCCTGGGGTCCATGACTGGAAAGGGGTGTCTAATAATAAGAAATAAGATATAGGGAGTTAACTGAAATCAACCGGTAACTACAAAATAAAACATTTGAGAATCTCTGGTCCAGAATAATGCATTGACTACTAACTTTTTTAATCCCTCAGACAAAGCCATGGGCGACAGCTAGTTAAAATCTAAGTATAATTATAAATGTGTATACTATAAACAAGTACAAATAAACTTATTTCATTGAAGCCCATTAGTTAATGACTTTACAATCATGTTTCTAGAGTCAATGATCTACACAGGTCATGGTCAAGGGCCACAACATATTAACATCTAATACATAGTTAGTATGTACTGTAATTATATGTTAATTAACAATCATTTCAAACATTTCAGATTTGATTGCTAATAACATTCATCCCTTTTTTTTATGTGGTAAACAGTGTTAAAAATTATTTGTACATAATTTAAAATATGTCTAAAATAAAACAATATTGTATGTAGCTATCACCCGCGACTCCGTCCGTGCAGAATTAAAAACAAACTAAATAAGTAGCCTATATATTCTTCCAGACTATGTTCTACATCTATGACAAATTTCAGCTAGATCCATGTAGCCGTTCCAGAGATACCTTCAAACAAACATCCATCTATCCATCTAAACATTCGCATTTATAATATTAGTAAGATATTACTGATAGTAAATAAAGAATTTCTGCAACAAGATTTTACTCAGTGTGTGCAAATAGTATGATAGTTTAAAGTTTAAAATCTTGCTATCACATCAATATCAATTGACACAAAACCTGTTCAAAAATAAACTTCAGCTTTTCCCGATACTCCAACCATGCTGAATAAGAAAAATGGCTGTATGTTCTTCGCAATTATGTTCTACATTAGTGTCAAATTTCTCACTCTGGAGACATCTAACATACCGCATTTGCATTTATAATATTACTAAAATATATTGTCATAATATATCTATCATCTGTAAATATATTTTCAAATATATTTTGTTTAGTAACTTAGTAATTAGACTGTCAAAGTAGGGAAAATCTGGAAATAACCAATGAAACTTAAAAATACATAATACTTTCTCTGATAAAACTACTATGCCTGAACAATAGGACACATGTAAACACTAACTGGGACCTGTGAGAACAAGCAGTCCATGCTAGGCCAGCACTTCTGTTCTACTGTACTGACATAATGTAAACCAGACATTAGGGTAAGTTTAGACTAACAAAAACATGCTTAGTCATGGAATGGTAGAAGCCAGCAGTCACTATAAGTAGTGTTTAACATAGCAATAACATCTTCGAGATTTTTTCAGTCAAATGTAATTACTAATTCATAAAAATTTTAAACATTTTAATGTGTAAACCAAACCTATACCATCTGTTCATTTTTATTTCACTAGGCGAAACATTATGTGCTTTTAACAATTCCAGAAAAATAGAGATGTTTATAACATTTGATCCAAAACGCTTATAATGTCCACTCTATAGTTATATATTTAATACTCTTTGGTACATTACATTAAGTAAAAAAAACCCAATATGTTTTCCTCTTCAATAAAGTTGTTTAAAAACCTATTAGACATATTATAGACTAAAAATGGAATAAAAACTTAAAAAAAGGATTAATGTCAATTAATTTACTATAATATAACTTTTTGATAGTATTTCTATATCTCTTTATTTAACATCTTGATATAACCAATAACAATCTGTTTAGTTCCAGAAACCCAGAACTTACAGAGGTTATAAAAACAGAAATATGCTATTAGGAACTAAATTGAAATAGTAAACTAAGCATCCTAAACTTTACTGCAAGTTTTTCAAAAAGATTCAAATGATTTTAGCAAAAGTGTTTTATCTAACCTCAAACATTTTACAAAACTACGAAATTTACGAACCGCAAATATTATTATTGTAATACGTCAATAATATATGCTAATCTAAAAGATATAAATCAAAATATAAAGTTAATGACTGTGTAAATATATTTCGTTAAACGGAATATTTCCTAGATCATCGACAAGGTCGTAATTTCATAAACTATGCCGCATGTTACACAACGATAATATTGTTATTTTACAAAAATAGTAGTTTTAAAAGTTGTTTGTAATAATTAGCTTCCTTTAAGACCTACACCGCGCGGTCTACACCACCGACCGATCTCCTGTCAACCAATGTATCCATTTTGTAAGGACATATATGTTTGACACCCCTCGAAATGTAAATAAACTAAAAAAAAAGCAACTCACCTATCATACAATGTCACATTCCGCTCAATAACACAAAATTTCTATTGTCTCGTGTCCCAAATCATCCTGGAAAATGAAGCTGAACATTACAATCCGCCGGACGCAAGGCAATATCGGTCCTATGGGCACTTGTCCTGTCCACTACTTCAGCAACATATGATATTAGCCACTATTGTTCCGCCCCAGGTATTCCCGGGGCACTGTCCACAACTTATTTTAGATTTTTCACATATAGTCACCAGCGTACAAATACGCGATTTTCAACACGAATCTAAACCACTGATTTATGTTCCAGTGACGCAAAGCTCATATATCGTGAAGAGCAGCAGCCATTTTGAAATGTACGGGGAGTGCAATCACGGCATGGAACAATCGTAATTTATAGACGTTCTCGTCCTCTGCCGATATTCAATGGTGTCGCGATGTACAAATATGTTTAGGCATTTTCCATTTCCACACTTTAGATCACAAAACTTCACTCCATTTTCCCATTGAAACTGTCCAAAACAACCTAAGCGACATCCGATAATTCCAGCTTACCCCATTTGCATGACACACATAGAATTAAAAGAAAACACCCAAAACACATAAAATCGTACATAAAACGTATCGCGCCGAATCATAAGAAGTTAACGCATCTCATCAGTATAACAGTCCAGTAGTAAAATCGCTAAAAAGATTGGTATATATTTTACAAATAGTTATTCGGTACGAACAATAACAACGGCCGCCATTTGCAATTTTCAACTTGACATGCGCATTGACTCGATGTAGACAACATACGTGGTATACTTTGGATGTAGTCCATTTTAACAAAACCAAAAATATCATCGTTCTCAATAATATAAAATTTTTGTATGAATTTAACTAAGTGGAAATAAGAGGTACTAAAAATATAGGGAATGAATATTTAAAATAACTTCGTAATTTATATTTGTTATTGAATCCTATTAACACGCCTTTACAAAGTACATCATGGAAAATTCATGCTCTACTGATGACTAAACGTGATTGGTGCTTATCATAATCTTCATATTCTTGTAAAAATATAAACAATTTCGATTGGCTGCCGCCATGAAACGTGAGGACACGATTCACTTCCTGTTTTCTTGGCGATAATTAAAAATAAATTTGAAAAAAAATCTTGGTTTTATTCAAGAAAAATGTCGATAGTTATCATAGCTTAAGAAATTCGCAATAAAACTAAGTTCCTAAATAAAACCATTAATACATTTGTGCGATGCTATTTCTGTGGCGGTATAGGTACTGATTGAAATAATCCTTTGCGAGCCATTTCATCTGCCCAGTCTTCAAATTCTCCTTTCCTAAAATTAAAAACACTATATGTAATTTAAACTCCATAAATTAAAAATAGTCCTGTAATCCAAGTTGAATAAAAGATTTTTCTGATAAGCGAAGAACAGCCTATATGGGAATATAGGAGAGATGTAACGTTAAAGTAAAAGAACAAGAATAATACAAGGAAATCTTGGGATCTGTTTCAGCGACACATTTTACTTTTATGGCGATACAAAATGATAAGTAGTCACAACTTTAAAAATTTACAACTTAGTTAAAAAGGCCTCTATAAATCTACATATATCATTTCGAAAAACAAACGAAACCTTAAACAAAAAGTCATAATTGTTTATTTGCGTAATATCTATTAATCAAATTTATTAAGAAAAAAAATATTTTCAATCTTCTAAAATATGGTTGAGATCTGTAATGAATTTGTAAAATAAACGTAGTGCTGTGGTTGTTATATAGTCTGTATTTTCCGAATTAGCAAATTGCTTTGAAATATTGTTTAAGTGAAAGTAATTGATAACAAAAACCTTTTTTAATTTACTGTAAAAGTAAATTTAAATTGCAAGTCGGAACGATATTCATCGCTGTCTTGGTTAAGGTAATTTTCTACATTATTGGTCTAGGTTTCGCGGTTCAAATTTTGTTGTTTATATCGTTTTGAATTATAACATTTACAAAATTACTGTCGGATCGAAATAATTTCAATAAATACACTTTAAAAGACTGTAAAAAATCACAAATTTTGTTTTACAAGTAATTATTATTAATATCTTATTGATTCCATCATACCACTAACAACTCATTTTGTCATTTTTACATTTACTATGAATATTAAGATTTTACTTAATGAAATCTTATACTGTGGTTTATAATTTGCTCCAAAGACTATAGTTTAGTTCAGCCACTACTAAATAAATAGGTTTAAAAAGTTATGGTGGAACCGCACATTGTGTTAAATTTTTGTTCTTAATTTAAATTTGAATCAAACCATTTTCTACAGTGTTTGCAAGCAAAACCATAGTGTTTTGTTCATATCCTGATGCAACTGAAGAAAGTCCCGGTCACTCAAAACGAACACTGGTGTTCTTTGCTCTAAGTTTCTAAGTAATTACCAAAAAGTACTTACGCATAAAATTCATGATACTTTTGTCTTCTTGGCAAACCAATAAAGAAATATACTGATGCACCGCTTAAAATCGATAGCAGTATAGCTTGGGACAATATACGTTTTGTCTGTGCCCAATGCAAGCCTCGCATTACTGGCTTTACTAAACATGGAGGCTTTGGTGGTGGCGGAGGGCAGTCCCGTGGTGGGCATACTACTGCTGATGGCTTCACACATGTAGACATACCGTTGGATAACTATAAATAAAATATATTTTAACAAAAGGGAAAAAGTTGTATATTTAGATTGTAAGTAAGGGTTTATTTTATGTCATATTTTTGACCTAATAAAAAAATGTTTGGTATGTAAAGGCCATAGAAAAACTATGCACCAAGCTTAAATTAGATGATGTTTGTTTTTTTAACTTTTAAAAATAATTACAGAAACACAAATGAAAAATGGCCCAAAGTTCTCACGGCGGCAGCCACCGACGCAGTCGCGACCCCGAAGGTTCCATGCGGTACACAAACACAGATTGGGAGGCGAAAGAGGCTCTCTACCAACGAGAATTAGACGAGGCTCGAGCCAGAGCTTCACAAATGGAGAAAACTATGCGTTGGTGGTCGGATTGCACCGCAAACTGGCGAGAGAAGTGGTCTAAAGTGAGAAACGAGCGAAATAAAGCAAGGGAGGAAACGAAACAATTGAAAAACAAAGTCGACATACTCACTAAAGAAATTACGACACTAAGAAGTGAAAAGCATGATATGGAACAAAGTTTATTGGAACTTAAAAGGGACAATGAGAAGCTTCTTAGTATTGGCGAAAGCAGAATTGTATCTGGAGACCTTACAACTGATGATGGAGTAGAATTGAGGCGGAAAAATGTAGGTTATGTATCTCCTAATGAAGCATCTATAAGACAAAGAGCTTCATTAGATTCTCATAAATTTTCCAATGTGGATAACGTTCTCGCGAACAAACTTAGCGAAATGAGACTAAGATTAGATGAAACATTTAAAAATCTACAAAGTGAAAAGGATCAGAAATCATTTTTATTAGCAAAAATAGAAACATTAACAGCAGAGTTACATAATGCGAAAATGGAACTCACACATAGTGATAGAACTTTAGGTTCTACAGATTCTAGTCACAGTGAAGTTGAGAGATTACAAAATGAACTACAAGATGAGACAGCAGCTAAACAAGTGCTGGAAGAGAAGATGGCTGAGCTTAAAATGGAAATAGAAAGATTGAAGTCGGAAAATACAATACAATGGAGTAAAAGGGAACTTTTAGAAACGGAGAACATAGCTATATTGCGTGAAAATAAAAAACTTTACAGTCAAGTTTGTGAACTTAGAGAACAAATACATAAATTAAATAGGATATCAGATGGCAGCGCTTACGGTGGACAGTTTGTTGGTGATAGTACAAGAGTCAGTTCAAATGTACTCTACGTAAGGAAAACAAGTATTAGTCCGAGATCACACGAGTCTAGTAACGGTTCCTCCGAAGCTAATCTTGCACAATATGATACAAAAACAAATACATCCGGTGAAGAAGATGAATTGGCGATAGTTGAAAAAAGTGAAAATTGTTAAAACATGAATTTATTTACCTGTTTACTTTTCACAATATAGATTGAAAAGTTGAATTCCAATAAATGTCAATATTTTTAAATAATTGACTGTTATAAAATAAAAACAACATACAAAAAAGGTTTTGTAGCTTTTAATGAATGCGAAAGAAGGTTTATAATTACATTTTAACCTTTGAAATGTCGCTTTCTAAATGATTTTATACAAGAGCTTTAGAAACTAGATAATTTAAACAGCAGACATAAAATTGATCCTAAAAGAAAACTATAGAAAAACATTTTAAAATTATGGGATGAATAAATTAAAAACATACTTTTTATTAACCTTTTTTATTTTTCTGTAGAATCAAGTGAATTTAAGACATAAAAACTTTATTAGATTAATTAAATAATATTTTTACGCTGCTATTTTTAACAAAAATTCTTTGCATTGTTTATCACCACAGTCATATCTAAAGGTTTAACAATAGCTTAAATATCTTAACCCTTAAATGCATGATTTTATGCATGATTTTATTTTTAGACCGAGAAAAAATATATTTTGGAGCCATGAATATGCTGATTTAGGGAAAAATAATAAAAAAAATAGTTTTTTTTATTTTCATAGCTATTTTTATTAAAAACCATTTGTTGCAGAACTACACTATATATCACTACTACTACTACTACTACTTCTAAATATATCACCATGATAGTAATAATCCTGCAACAGCATGCATTGAACTCATACTAATAATTTTATGGTCGTTTGAATGGTATGTTGCAGTTTTACTACTTTATGCATTTAAGGGTTAAAAAAATAACATAAAATTGTTTACTTACATTCCATTTTATATTTTACGATAGATTATTACATCATTTCAAATAAATAATATTAATAAATTAAAAATATATAAATAATAGTATGAAGTCAACTTTAAGCCGTCTTCTCCATATTTTCTTATAGACTGGGGAAATTATGCTGCGAATCTCCTAATACAATCAAATCTGGATAAGTAAAATATTTTTCTAGCTTATAAACATTCTTGTAACCAGAATTTCTCACTTATGTTCGATTGATCTGACGCCCATGGACATCAACATTTGAGGAACCACAGATGTCGGTTTAACCGTGGGTTTCTGAGACGAACCTCTGTATCTGATAAAACAGAGATATGTTTTAAAGAGGGATTTCGTTCTCAGAAACTTACGGTAAAAGTCCTTTATATGTATTATGGTATTGGAAATTTATAGTTTAACATTAAAAAGCACCTTGTAATTTTTGAGTTTTATATACAAAAATGTATACTCTACATTCCTGCCATATATTTTCTTCACTTTTCGGCTGTATTATATGTAAATGTATAGTCGTATTCAATAGAAATGAGAAATTATAAACCTATTTAAATAATTTTATTTTCACAAGTACGTAATCACAGACATGTTAAGAATAGACGTGTTAGATTTACTAATATTACAAATGCGAATGTTTGGATGTTTGTAAGAAGGTATATGCATAACGGCTCAAAGGATTTTTGATGAAATTTGGCATAGATATAGAACATTGTCTGGATTAATACATGGGCTACTAATTAAGTTTTTTTTTTAAATTCCGCTCGCACAACTGCGAGCGACAGCTAATAAACAATAAATGTCTTTGTTAGCCAGTGTTTTTTTGTAAACATAACTTTACATATCCATTGAATTCGACTATAATAAAAATTAGACTGGAGTAGTGTGTTTCTGTATTTTAGTAATTGTTAATAATTGTGATAGTCTAGTTTTTAAAAATAATAACTAATAGAAAATTATAATGTCCGTTGCAAATATAAATACAGATTAGAGCAAATATAATGAAAAAAAAAACTGGATCCCCACTGCGTAAACGCGTACAGAAACATATCGTTGTCTCTTTCTAAAAAAGTTGACATAAAATGTTCTATACATTGTCAAAGGTAACTCATGTTTAGGGCCATTTTTTTTTTAATTATTCTGACAGAATAAACAATTAGTTTGATTTTTTCCTATGAATGATATGTACTGATTTTAATCGGAAATAATTCTTTATTTTAAATATGAAAGAGATGACTATGTTTTTGTACAGATGTAATAGATATATTAAATTGCCTATTTACTGACTTAATTTGCATACAAACATACAATGTACAAACATATAGGTTGAGTCCTTACTATCGTATTACTTTTGTTTCTTAATGGTTAAGAATTTTATTTATTGCATTACTTGCCTTTCTGCTGTTGTATATTCCGTTTCAAATATCTTGAAAACTCAAGGTCAAGAGGGCGCTGTGGGGCGACCGCCCAGGGCGCCTCGGACGCAAGAGTCGGATAAAAAAAGGCGTCTGCACCCCTAAGATATCCTATCTGTAAGATTTTACTAGACGCTTAAAAAAGTTGTGGCTACGTAATATTAGGGAGTGGACGGGGATTAGGTCAGCAGAGGAAATGTTTCGCCTTGCGCTTGACAGAACCAAATATTCCAAGTTAGCGGCCAACCTTCAAGACTGAAAAGGCACTAGAAGAAGGAAGAAAAAGGGGACGCCGGAAAACCGACCCTTTCTACACCTAACATTGCGTTATGCAGCGACTCGTACGATGTTCAGAGCGGCCAAGATATTAGAAACAAATAATTTTCAATTCTAACACAATATGTTAACATTCATACTAGTCCGATGATTTGAATTTTTTTTACATTAAAATAATTTTTTTCTCTTTATTATTACCCTAATTTTAAATATTTAGATAAGAAATTAACCATTCGTTGTCAGCTTTAGTTTAGAAATCTACACTAAGGTAATATATAAATTACTAATAAATGATTACTAATTGAGACGTCGGTGGCTCAGTGGTCAAGCACTTGACTTGCAATCTGCAGGTCCTGGGTTCGAATCCCGCCATGTATCAATGTGTTTTTCGATTTCCGATTTACATATGTACATTTATCCGACGTTCTTACGGTGAAGGAAAACATCGTGAAGCAACCTGCACATATCTGAGAAGAAATTCAAAGATATGTGTGAAGTCAACCCGCACTTGGCCAGCGTGGTTGACTATGGCCTAATCACCCTTAACTTAGGGTAGGCTCCGAGCCCCTCGGTGGGGACGTATAGTGAGCTGATGATGATGATGAATAAATGATTCTGAGTCTGAATGTAAAATGTACTTTTCAACTGATGTAATTGAGAAATTTAAAATGAATTTGATTGGCGATCTCATTTTGGTTTATAATCTGCAATGGTCATATAATAAATTAATTAACCAATATAATTTATTTTATTTTTGTTTTGACCCTTACCAATGTACTAAAATTCATATAATAGCTGTCTGAACTTCCAGACTATGTTGTATGACAGTGATTTTTTTTTTCAAAATCTGTTGAGCCGTTCCGAAGATCCCTTCCAATAAAAATCCATGCATCCATCTAAACTTTTGCATTTATAATATTAGTAAGATTAATAAAATGTCGATAAATATAAAACGGTTAATTTTACATTAAAATTATAAGGAACAATTTTTTATTTATATGCACTGTTCTGTTTCTTGTTTATGGCTCTCGCTCATCGGATTGGGCCAATGTCAAGTGTTTATGGTTCTGTTTTTTTGTATGTAATAAATAAATCCAAAAAGTACTGAACAGATTTGAAAAATTCTGTTACCATTTTGAAGCTACACTATCCCTGAGTGGTATTGGCTATATTTACAACTAGATTTTTTTATTCTGCACAGACGAAGTCGCGTTCAACTTATATACTTAATAAAATTACAAATTTTTATAACTTATTTATCAAAACTTGCAACCTTCAACATGCCTAAACGACTCAATCTTGACTTCAAGTGGCCCTTTTTTTTTAAATTTTTTATTTTTTCCTTTTTAACTTTTGTCAACGGTACAGTTGTATTGACATCAATAGAATTAATATTTGGCATTGATTCATTTAAATCGTTTGTTTGACATTCATCTATTATCTCTATTTCGTATTCTCCAAAATTATCGTTGAGTAACATCGGTAAAGATTTTACTATAGTATTATTTCCTGTATTTTTTATTATATCTTCATCACTTTCACTTGATTCAGATTCATCAGAATATGACATATTTAATTCTATATCTCGTTCATCTTCATTTTTAACATTTGTTTTGTCTTCGTTTAATTTTATTTTCTTATTTTTATTACCATTTGGTGATGGTTGTCTTTTTTTATCTAAATCAATAGTTTCAAATTCTTTATCACCAGTTATATTTTTGGATTTTTTTAATATTTGTTTTCTGAAAATAGAATATTTAATAGTGTGTTTTAACACATTCAATGCTACTAGGATTTTATGGTTTCAAAAATAAACTGTTAAAGCTAATCACCCCTGAGCATGTGGCTCAAGGGTTAAGCAAGTTATCTGCATGTTCTGGGTTTGTATCCTACCATATACCAATGTCTCCGTCTACATATATACTATTAAAGTTATTCGCCCTTGAGCATCAGTGGCTCAGGGGTTAAGCAACTTATCTGCAGATCCTGGGTTTGAATCCTGATATGTACCAATTTGTTTTTCAATTTACATATGTACATTTATCTGCCTTTCTTACGATGAAGGAAAACGTGATGCTCTACATATGAGAAGAAATTCAAAGATCAGCATTGACAATGGCCAAGTTATTTAGGGTAGACATTGAGCCCCTCAGTGGGGATGTATAGTGAGCTGATGATGATTGTGCATTTCATTCTTTTCTACAGTTGACCTTGAAATCTGCATCGATTCGTACGATGTTCGGAGTTGTAAATATATTTGATTACAGTAACATACCTATCTCCAATGGCTGTTAGATGTTTTACAGGATTCACTGCTTCTTTCATAGCTTTCATTTTGATTTCTTCAACTAAATTCACATGTTCGTTTTCAGTTTTTACACTGTCTTCATCTAGAAAAAAAATATAGTAATTAAGCTAGTGAAAATTCTAAATCTTACTAATAAATGCAGATGTTTGTTAGAATGTATAATATCTCCGGAATGGGTGCATG